GCCCGCCCGGCCCCGCGGCCCCGGCCCGGGGAGACGCGGTGGCTGTGGCGATGTGCTGCGCCCTTCTCCCGCCCGCCCAGCCATGGCCGGTCCTGTCCCACGCCCGCGCCACACCCCCTCCCCTCCGGCGCTCCCTGCCCGGCTTGGCCCCGCTGCCCCGGCTCCCGCTCCCCGGCCCGGCTCTTGCGTCCCTTCCCTCGCCCTCCCCGCCCCTCGGCGTGGCTCCCCCCGCATTATGTCCATCTTTTTGTCTTCCTGTTGTTTTAGATCCCACCAAAGCTCGGCCTGCCCTCCCCACGCTGCTGGACAGCCCGGCTGGTCGGTGAGCATCTGCTACCCCTCAGTAGGTCGGGCAGAGCGGAGCGTGGAGTCACAGGGGCTTGCTCCAGGCAGAGTAGAGTCCAAACCCCCACGAAGAAGCTTTAGAGTGTCTCCACATGCCCTTAAGTCACCAGATCCCCGAGCTGTTGCCCGAGCCGGGCTGGGTTTCTCAGGAAGGCTCAGCAGCCTCGTAGCCCTGAGGCGTGCAGGCAGCTCTCCTGCCCCAGCAGAAGGCCAGGCTGGCCAGCCTTGCTCTGGGGCTGTAACTGTGTCAGCACAGTGCTTTTCCTCGGTGCCTAAATGGCAGCTGAACTCCCAGTTGCTTTTTAGAACAGAAGGTGATAAAGGGTGCAATTTATTCAGCACACTGACCTCCAGCTCTGGGGTGGTCCAAGCAGCATCTGGAGCAATTTCTTTCACTGTTTCCATAAAATATTTTAATGTACCCAACAAAACCAAATAAATTGTTGTCGCTACAAGCTGCATTCCTCCTCCTGGCCATTTTGACATTTATCCATATAGTATGGCTCAGAAATCCATCCAGGTCCCAGAACAGCATTAAACCTCTAAGATTGATGCTAAGATGGACAGAACATCTGCCAGTATTATTCCTGTCTGTGAGGACTGGGATTTGAATCTCCCCAAAACAGCACTTTGAACAGCTCAGCCTTCTACAGCTGTGTTGATGGGAATGTTAAAGTCTCAAAGGATGATGCTTCAATCCTGCAAATTTAAGCTGTTGGGGTTTTTGTTGGTTGTGGTGGGTTTTTTGATAGGTTATGAAGCAAGCAGTGTAAGAACTCGGGTTTAAAACTTGTTTAAAATATAAGTAAGCTCTCTTCTCCTTCCACCCATGTCTTCCTTCAGGCTTTGTTTTTGCTTTCTAATCAAACCTGCAGCAATAAGACACTGTGCATGTTTTCAGGTGCACTGTCTGAGCGTGTGCTTGTGGAATCTCCAGTTTCTTTGGTGTGTTTGGGTGCTGCAGACACCTGTCCCAGCTCAAACCCCATTCTTGTCCTACCCTAAACCCCATTCCTGTCCCAGCTCAAACCCCGTTCTTGTCCCACCCCAAACCCCATTCTTGTCCCACCCCAAACCCCATTCCTGTCCCAGCTCAAACCAATCGACGGTTTTGCCTGACCTCAGGGTTTCCATGTGGCACCACCTGGGCACCTCCACAGGCCAGACTGAGCCTTTCAGCTTTGCAGTTCTGGGGAGGCTTGGGGCAGTTCACTGGGGCAAAGGGTGACAACACACAGTAACCTCTGCCCGTTGTGCACAGTGTCCTCTGCACGAGACCTGCTCTGTTGTGATCTGTCATCGCTGCCATCTCCACTCCCCCTGAACACAAACGTGCCTGGTGTGCTTTAGCCCTGCTACCTGTAGTTCAGCCAGGCTGAACCAGGGCAGTATTTGGACAGGAGACCTTCCAGGAGAGCTTACCTACAGTAGGAAACACAGTTCACTTACTGAGACTTGGTTTTCTATTGCTGGAGCCAGTCTTGAGCCTTCTGGTTCTGGAGATGATGACCTGTAAAAATTCCAGCTTTGAATGGAATAAAAGCAAGTTCTTGGGCATTTCTGATCATGATGGAACTTCTTGCAGTTTACTGCAGGGTAGCAGAGTATCCTGGCCGAATTCCTCCTGGGGTGATTGTGTTCAGCTGACTGAAAATGATCAGTGGCAATTGCTGCATTTCACTGTTGGGCAGAGTTCCACACAGGGGTTTAAATTTGTAATGTGGCTTAGGGTAAAGCAGAAAGGAAAACAATTACAGAAATGTCCCTTTAACCCTAATTCCTGAAGGCCTTGTGAGGCTTGTCAGACTGCAGTCACATTCCTCTAAATGCCAGTGATCCAGCTGGTGGGGCATTCCTTGGAATGCCTGTTCTTCATCACAGGATGGCAGCCAGAACAGTGGTGCTTTGTGTAGGGCACACACACATCCCCACACATCAAGCAAGGAAACAAACAGAATGGGTGAAAAAAAGAAGGAATAAAATCACTCAAAGTTTTCCTTGTGCTGGTGCTGTTCAGGCTGATCCGTGGTTGGTGTTTTGTTCTCAAAAAGGCTGAGTGCTCCTTTGGCTCAAAAAGGTAGAGAAACACTGATGTAAGATATGGAAGGCATCATGGAGGAGTATTTTCTGTTATATACGCGCCCCAATGTATAGCAATTTATTTTTTTCTCTCCCTGACCTTCCATCCTTTATTTTGTACCCAGCTTTTCTTGCTCCTGTTTGAAATATGCCTTATAACCTTACAAGGTTTCAGAAGACCACTGTGTTTCACTGGGATAAGGAATATTGCATCTGCTTCATAGCAGGAGGATGTTTTATGTGTTACAGCTTAACTTTGTTCTACTTTACACCTAGATAAAGGATGAAGACTGTCTGTACCATTTTGATTACCTCTTCTAGGGTTCAAAGAGAATCATTTCCCCTGACCTCCATTTGCTAATGGCTCAGCTTGATCTAACTGGCACACAGATAAACGTGCTGTTAAACAAAAGTTACAGTAGCAGGAACCACCTCAGTGCCCCAAGCTCCTCTGCCCGTGTTGGTGGCTCTCTGTGACCAGCCAGAAGCCGAGTGACGCAGTCCTGAGTGCTGCTCCCGAGGAGTTTGGGTGTGAATGGACAGTGCTGCCACCCCGAGAGATGAGACAAAGGACCCTGCACCCCGACAGCTCAGCGAGCTCCAAAGATGAGAGTCCTGCACACCGAGCTCTGTGCTCTGTCTCCAGAGTGATCTTCGTTCCTGTTAAGCTCACCTCACTGCTGGTCACGAGTTTTGCTTTTGGGATTTAGACCACCTCTTTTTCCCCCCCGTGTTACACAAAGACTGTTAATAGGACTGTTAGTGGAATGAGCAAAGCCAATACTCGCAGGGTTTAAGTGTGTACCGATAGCACCTTTTGCCCAGAATGCCTTACCGGTGCCGCCCAGCACGCGTGTCCCAGTGTACGACTTGGCCTGACGGTTCCGCTGGCTTAGGCAGCACCTCAGCCTCCCGAGCTGACTTTTAGGGACATTTCCGCACGTAGCATCTCATCCAACGAGTCAGACACCACCTGGCTGCCAGGTCCGGGAGCTCTCTCCGTGACCACGAGTGCGCCCCGCGGGCCGATGCCGTCCAGCTGAGCTGCGGAAGCGCCTGCGGGATGGCGCAGGGAGGGGAGGCAGGCGCTCCTCCCGTGCGCCTCTGGGTGCGGCGCGTGGGGGTTTACTGCGATGAGCACCGCAAAACATGGCTCGTGGCTGCGGAAGAGGCAAGTGTGTGCTTTGAGCTTCCCCGTGGTTGTAGCATTGCTGTTTCAGGTGCCTCTGCCAGTAACTGCCTGCTCTGTTTGTTACTTTCCCCCAGGAGGAAGGTATGCTGAGGGCTCGGATCCAAAGAGTTCAGGTTCCCCTGGGTGAGGCGCTGCGACCCAGCCAGCTCCCCCCATCCCGGCTGCCTCACATGTGGCAGCTGTCCCAGGGTGAGCAGTACAGGGATAGTAACTCTCGCGTTTGGGAGATAGAGCACCATCTCATGGTAAGGATGGTGGCGACAATAGAACATAGTCATTCCTGTTTGTGAAGTCATTTGAGATCCTTGAGGGACGGCAAAGGACTGTTACTTTGTTGAAGTCCATTAGCTCAACCACAGTAACTGTAGACGTATTGAACTTTTCCTTGTCACTTACAGCTTGATGGTGTTGAAGAACTGCTGCTTAAACTCGTGCCTGGGGATTAATCTGGTATGTGCAGACATTACCCCTGCTTTGTACTGTGCACTGTTTACTCCCCGTCTTTCTTTAATGTGAATTTTTGTCTTTCAGGAGCAGTGGCTCTAGGAAGATGCCATTGTCTGTTTTGTACAATAAAAGGTTCTCTCTCCACTGAAATGCAGCCACCTTTGAGGTGGAAGCAGTTAACACACAGCAGCATCACACAAGAGTTTAGGACAGGCAGTGAAGAGGAGTATTGTGACCAAGTGAAACATCAGGGGGAGTTCTAGGTAGGCAGAATGTAATTGCCTCAAATGGAATTCGGCCAGGATGCTGCAAATAATGCCCTAGTGATACTGGGAACTGCTGTGGGCTGGTGACTTGTCAGAAACTGGAAAGGCAGCGGCTCCCAGCTCTGAGCAGAGGCTGAACTGTGGCTCAGAGGGTTCAGTCTCACCACCACATTCAGTGACACTGGTGCTTTCCTTAGAGGTCTCCCGTTCAACTACTGGTACCACCAGCTTTTGCTTGGCTTTTGAGCTTACACTGACACAGTTACAGGTGTCACAGCTGCAGAAAAATCAACTCAAGTGTCTGAAATCCTTTTCTGATGGATTTGAACAAGATGGAGCTGTCCTCCAGTCTGATTGAGGGGTTTTTTGGACAGAAGGAGAGGATTTCCAAGAGACTTCCTCCTGAAACAAAATGAAAAGAGCCCTTCTTGGCTTTATGGCATATACACAACTGAGTTGTTTGGTTGATTGTTTTTTTAATGCCTTCTCCAGCTGTGGTTCCATGACTTGCCACCAAATCCTTGGTTGTGTAAAGCTCACAGAGGTGGATTTCACATAAGTATCTGTCTCAGTACATGATCTAGAGATAGAAAACTCTTAAAATTTAGTCAGCTGTGTTAATTTGAATATTTTCTGGAATCTTTGTACATCCAAGTGGAAAAGGACACATTTTAACTAGAGAAAAGAAAAAGGCTTTTAAACTTAATGACATGAAACTTATTCTATTCATTGTCCCCATCATCATCTTTCAGCCAGACAGAGAGTTCTTGTGTATGCTGGCAGGCACCTGGAAGCAGCACTAGGTGTTTTCTGAATGATGACTGGGGGAAACTGGGAGCTCCTGAAAGATGTGGCTGTAGGACATTGTCTTTCCCCCACCCCCTGAAAAGAACCCTGATCTACAGTAACATTTTCTATCATTTTAGTTCCTGAACATGTCCCGGAAGGATCCCTGCCAGAAACAAGCCTGTGAAATACAGAAATGCTTGCAAGGTACCAAGTGTCATATTGTCTTTGGTGTCTTGATTTTTGGTGGAACTTAATTCTTTTAACTTAACCTTGTCCTTTCTCCTTGAGAAGGAACAAAGCACATTAGCATTGCCTGGTTGCAAAATGAACAAAATTATAATGTCTGATTTTAATAGAATTGCTTTGTGCTTAATTGTAAATAATGAGACATCATTAGTATAAAGCAGATCATTAGTAACAGTAATGTGCTTGGAGTGTTCTCCATGCTGGTAGTGAGATCCCAGGTGTATTTTTGGGACTCAGCTGTGGGCAGGAAGAGCTAGACATTATAATAAGCTCTCTTACAGAGTGGTTAGTGAGGGAGTAGGTGGATTGCATGAGAAGACTGCAGAGCTGCTCCAGGGGTGTTTCAAGAACAGGGGTGTTTCAAGAATTCTGTCAGGAACAGGTTAGGTGATCTGTCCTCGAGGTGTGAGATGGTCTTCATGTCCCCAGCAATTGTCTAGAGTCTACCTTTAATGTCCTCATGGTTTGGAGCATTCTCCCATGAAGGACTACCTTCTCTCCCTGTATTACTGCACTTAAAAGCTGATGATTGACCCTATTTTGGTCCCATCTGTGGCAATGTTCTTTTTATAACATTTGTGGAAGTTATTCCAAGTGTTTTTCCTGTGTAGGTTTGTGTGCAGTGTTGATCTGAATGGTTAAGTGTTGGCAGAGAAGCTCTTTGCTGCATGTACACGTCACTGTCACTGCTGCTGTTCATCTGTTGTGCTGTGGAGCTGTCTGATGTGCACACATGAAACAGAGAGCAAAGCAATTTTCCCCTGTAAAAATTAAAGTACAGAGCCTTAACTGAGGAATGCACAGTCACTGTACCCAGTGTGTGAGATGGAGGGTGGGAGAATGCTGACTTCTCAAAAGTCATTGTTCCAAAGATCTTGCTGCTCCTCTGTGAGACTGAATGCCTGCTGTAAATCTTTTTTGTGTTTTCCTATCTGTGTGTGACTTTCAGGAATGCATCCTTGACAGATGATGGCGTGCCTGTACATAGCTACAGTTTTAGAAACAAAGCTGCAAAGGCAGAGGGACAGTTGGGAGAGCCTTGGAGCACTCATCAACTGCAGGTTATGGCAGAGACAGATCAGCTCTCCTCTCCAAGGGCCTGCCATGCTTCCTGGGCTGCCAGCTAGCAGAAATCACCACGACCTTTTTCTCAGGGGTGATGTGTGTGTTTGTATTGCAGCTCACTCACCAACCCAGTCAGGGAACTCATAGCCCAGTGATGACAGCAGTGTGGTTTGCTCATTAACCAGAAGGTGTTCACTGCTGCTTTCTGGGCTCTCCACGGGTGCTGTGTGTCTCACATTATACTGCTGTTGCTTCTTTTAATCTTTTAACAGTCAGAGTGGGTCTGAGTGCAGTTGTGTAGTGGTTGCAGAGCTCATCCAAGGCAGAGCAGGTGGCGGTGTTTCTGGGCAAGCAGGCAGGAGGTTCTTAACTCAAACCAGACTCAGCCTCTTCCTGCAGGACTCCTCTCTGAGTCACAGAGAGCTTTAGATAGCTGCAGCTAAAGAGAGGTTTTTGTGAGCAAGAAAATGATGGAATGCTTGTAAGCAGCTGCAGAGCTGGGCTAGGCGTGCTCCCTCAGGGAACAAAGCCTGTTCCTCTCTGCAGACCTGGTGTCTCCTTCTTATTTTCCAGCGAACAACTACGTGGAGTCCAAGTGTGAAGCTGCGCTGCAGGAGATGCGGAAATGCTGCGCTCGGTACACCAAGGGCAGGTCCATCTGTTGTTCAGGGTTTGAGAGAGAAGAAAGGGAGAGAGAAAAGGCTAAGCTGACTTCAAAAGGAATTTCCCCACCACCTCAGTAACACAATGCAGCTCCGGCAGGCGCTGGAGCATGGACTCACTTGAAGAGCTCGTGTGTGTTTTTTCAAGCCTTCTTTAGACTTTCAGAAAAGCCAGATTGCTCCTGGAACACACCGTTCAGCACACCAAAAAGCATTACACAGTACCAACGTATGGCCTGGTTAACAAACTTTATTTTCTGTACGAAAACACAATCTATGTTGCCTCTGCATCACACCTGTGAAATGTCAACTTGATGTTTTTAGGATGCTTACCTTACTCTAATCCATCCTTGCTCTAAAAATGGAGAATTGGAACCGAGTTGTTCTGGCTTCTGGAGTGAGAGGTACAGGAAATGAGCTCAGAAGAGTGAGTTTAAACATGAAACAAACCCATCTTGATACAACAAAGGTATTGCTGCCACCATGCAGTAGTTCCAGACAACATTTGCCTGTCCAGTGGTTCAAGCTCAAGAATGGGCATCAGGTCTGATGATTGTTCCTAAGTCTTGTATAGATCATGAGTGACTACAAGTCACTTTGCCTAAGTGCCTCACTTTTCCACTGGACAGAGTTGTTTATTTTATATTTGAATTGCCTACACGCTGCTATTTGCATGATAAAGATGTTACAGGAATATAATTTCAGGGATTGCTACAGGGATAGGATATTTTTTTAAAAAAGCAATATTCATTTGAAAGATTTGACTGTTGATACAAAATTTATAAATTTATGTCTAATTGAACACCTTTAAGCAATATGCTTTGAATCCAAGTCTAGTTAAAACTGCTGATACCCAAAGGCCTGTCACAGAGCCCTGGGCTAGATCCAAGAACTGACTTAGGTGCTGCTTACTGAACAAGCAGTTGTAGGCAGTTATTTTCCACACAACATTCCAGACTCATTCCCAAGCCGGCTGTGTCTGGACCCCAGGACAGATGGCTTTCCAGAAGCTCTCGGCCACGCAGCAGAATTTCCTGTGACCTGTAGGAAGAGCTCATAGACAGGTTCCTGCACCACCCCTCAGAGCTGCCTGTCTGCTGTCCCCTCTAGCAGGAGTCCAGGCACCCAAATATCAGGCTCCCAACCCACTAGCCCTAACTCTGTATTAGATCTAGCCGTAAAGGACTTTTGTGCTGTGATGAAGTACAACTTACTTATGAAATAGAGCTTCTATAAACCACTGAGGTCTAGGCACAATAGTTGTGTGTACTGAAGCCTAGAAGAGCAAACCATCTGTATTCACTGCTCTGAAATACCATGGTACAAAATAAACGACTGGAACAAATTGTGGTCTCTGGTTGTTTGTTGAGCTGCAAGCCGGGCGGCTTGGCTGCCATTCACAGCCCAGAGCCATGAGAGATCATGTTTAAATAGAAACTGCTTCATATTTTTGTAACTGGGGCTGAAGATCAGAATAATATAGGGCTTGTCTTCCCCTCCCACTGCCGTCGCCCCCAAGAAAAAAACCTTTAAGACAAAATGGGGTTTAGTGTCCCTGAAAAGTAGGGAAAAGTGATGACAATGTTGTGAATCACCTCAAACACTGACAAGTAGCAATTTTTTCTCTTTTGCCCTATCAGAGCCGGAACAGTGGAAAGAAAGTCACTAGTTAATAGATGATAAAATATATATATTTAGGCTTCTGTTGCACCTACAAAAAAATAGCCTTGTCTCCATGCCCATTTGAAGTTGGGTGGAACAAATTTGCTCAGCAGAGGCAACCCAGGCTGGCTACAGACCCACCTCCTGCCCTAGCAGCATCCCACATTCTTGGGAATATGGGTGATTGGTGCCAGGATGATCATGGGGAAGGATTTATTAAGGTAGCCCAGGTTACCTGCATGGATGAGGGGAGACTGGTACCCCCATAACCTCATTTATGTTGGAAAAGACCTTTGAGTCCCAACCATTCCCCAGCACTGCCAAGTTGACCACTAACCCATGTCCCCAAGTGCTACCTGCCTACATTCCTGTGACAGGAATGTGCTGGTTCCCAGGAAGCCAGCAGACCTCACACAGAGAAGCATTTAGAGCAAAACTGTTTAATAAAATATCACTTCAACAAGCATTTACATACAATATATAAAACCACTTTATAAGCCTAATGTGTTTGAAATCTTCTCAGAGTGTAACAGATGTCAGAAGTTGTTGAAACAACACTAAAAGGAGCCAGGAGTGGGGAGGGGGACACCTCATCTTGGCACCTGCAGCAATGAAAATGCATCCCCACAGAGACTGATCCAGCATCAAAGCTTCCAGTGTTGCCCCACAGCATCAAACAGTGCCAGCCACGAGCCCAACACCAGCACAGCAGAAAGATCTGCCACATCCTGATGTCCTTGTCCATTTCCTGCCTACATTCACATCAAACTCAGCAGAGATCTGTTAATTGTTTCCCTTTTCAGCAGCATTTTAGCTCCCTCTTTGGGCCATTTCTCTCTGTAGCAAACGGGGACTTGAGCAGAACTCGCCCACCTAGGGCTGGGCAGAAGTAGTGACTTGAGCCTGAAAAACATCCCTAAGGCCTGTTAATGATTTCCTTTGAGCTTTGTCGTTGGAGACAGCTTTGTGGAGATCAGTGCATCTCAGAAAAAGTTGTGTTCTGCAGCCCACCCAGCCAAAGAGCAGCAATGCTGTTGTCTACAGAACAAGAGATACCCTGCAAGACCAATCTATCTATTTATGCATGTTCACATCTGCAGATCCTACAGAAAAACAAACCAAACCCCAAAAAAACCCCTCACCACTGTATGTAACTCCACTGCTAAACACCAATTTATTGAAGACCTATTTGCTGCATCCCATCACTCCTGCAGTCCAGGATGGCCTTCAGGAAGGCCATTGTTAAAGGGTGTGAGCCCAGCTGCTCCTTCGTTCTCCTTGGCCATGTATGGCAGGACAGGAGCAAAGACAGCAGCTTCTATCTCCTGATTACCTGCAGCCTCTTTTCAGATCCTGAAGGTGAGGAAAACCTCAGCTTCATCAATGTGGTGCTATATGGACACTTCAATCAGCAGAGCTGAAACAAAATTACAAACTGCAAGTGCTCATTCCAAACCATCTGGAGAAGAACCCACCATTTCAGCTCTGCCAGCAGCCCGCAGGGGAAGATCCCCTTTCCAGCCATACAGAGAGCAGCAGATCACAGAGCCTTTGCACAGCACTGGAAATGGGGTGCAGCTGCTGAGCCAGGTGCTGCAAACCACCCACCCATGAGTGTCATTGCTCCCTACCATGTTTCCCATTGAAGGATGAGCTTCCACATAAAATCCCACATTCTGGGCAAGAACTGCTACCTATGCCTGCTGGAGGACATCACCATGTTGTCAGGCAAGTCTCTGTGCTTGCAGAATACCCTGGGGGATGTTTGTTCGTACTGCATACAACTGCACTGAGTCAGACTGTCCAAAAACAGCTGACCTCTACACCTGGGTTGCCTCATCTCCTGCAGGAGAAGGGCTGCAGCTGATGGAATTAAGCAAACAGCTTTTCTTGTGGAAATGGCAAACACAAAGAAGGAAGGAACACAACTCAGGCAGAAATATGCAAACGAACCACTCTCACAAGAGCACGGTCTGGTTTTCACTAGTTTTGTCATTTCAGTTGCTTGCAGAGACCAGGGAGAAAGAATCTGTGCTCTTCAGAGGCAAGTAAAGGACTGCACTCCAGATTTCACACCATCCCCCTTTCTCCAGTACAGCTGGCAACAGGGACCTGGACCAGTACAGTGTACTCTAAGCACAGATGCATTTCCTGTCTACAGTCCAGTCCCACAAGGTTACAGCTCAAGGAGCATCACCAATGCCAAAGTGACCAGAGAAGTTTGTGGTAGACATGGAAACCCCAGTCAGAGGCCCAGAGTGATTTACAGTAAGTGGCACAGCTGAAATACCCCCATCTGACACAGCCAGGCTGGGCCTGCTGGAAGCAGGAGAGAGCCTCCAAGGCTGAGCAATCAGGTGGCTCTACAGCACAGAACTTGGTGACTTTCAGAACACATGATGAGGAAAGGGCCTGGAGAGTCAGCCTCAGTGCTCAGTTTCCATCAGCAGTGCCAGTGCTGCAATTCCTGTATGGGGAAGGATACCAGCAGACACAAAGCCAAATGGCCATCTATGCGCAGTGAAACAGCAGGGGGAGGGCAGGAAAATCCATATTCCCCTGTCCTGGATGCAGCTCAGGCTGTTCTTTGACACTTCTGCATCCACCCCAGGATAGTCAACCACATTTTGGATTGCACAGATCATCTCTGTGCAAAGGGAAGCAGAGGTGTTCCAGGTACCAGGGCAGGAATACTGAAAGCTAAATTGTGGTGAAGAGTTGACACATATACTGGCAGACAGAGGTACACGTAACAGTCCTGAGCACCTGGAAGAAGCACATTTAAGAGGTTTCTCTGCCACTACATTTTTATGAAGTCAAAACTCATCAGAAAATTTGAGACTGGGCGTATTTGGTGGGAAATCATGATACACTGGGAGTTGTAAGCTTCCAGACCAACCCCAGCACACTAACAGCCCAGAGAGAAGAAAAAGGTGGAAATCAGAAGCAGTGTTGTAAGAAATAAGGGCTGGAACCTGTGAGCAGATGGGACTGAGTCTGTTGGCAACATCCTTTGACTTCTAAGTGAGAGATAACAGCAGTAGAGGAGGGGAGGGGAGGTTGGGCATGAGAGGAGAGCGCAGCTTCTAGGATGCGATTCCAAGCATGAATCCTCCAGCAAACCCTCCAGTCAGGATAGCGTTCTTCTTCAGAAATATGACCACCTAAGCAGGGGTGAGAAGAGACAACAGTGTTCAACAACATCAGGCCACCCACTGACCCTCCTGCTAAGAAGAAATCCCTCAGGCTGTTCTTGAGGCAAGTGATGCTCACAGAGATGCCGCTGCTCAGATTTGGGAAAACTTCCTACCTAATGACCTCCCCTCCCTAACTGCACCAGCACACAGCCAGATCTTCACCCTGCTCAGCCACGAGCAGCCAGCTCCTCCAGCAGAATGCTGTGGGAAATTATCTCTTCCTAAACTCTAGGCAGGCAACATCCACAGCTTTTGCCATCTCTCCCATTTTGCTGTCATGCAAGAAATCCCTCCTTGTATTTGCACAACTGAACATCTGTAACAGCTCAAGAGTCAATCCTGTTTTCTGCTGGCCCTCCAGCACATGCCCTGGGAGAGCTGTCTCACCTCATCCACTCTGCTTTTCACTTCTGGAGGCACTTGATTACCACTGGTGTGAAACTTCAGCTGCTGCTTGGCTTTGTTCATGTCCCGTTGTACTAGGTTCCAGTCCACCTTGATGTATCCCGTGTGGTTTGCAATCTACAGTTGTGAGGATTAGAAAAAAGTTCCTGAAGTCCTGTATGACCATGGCTAAACAGACCCCTTGCTCACCCACTGTCCCTGACCACAGACATCTCCCACTCACTGGTCCAGTGGGCACACTGGCTTACAAATTGGACAGAACACCACCCTTGGAGCTGTGTCAAGTGTTCTGCAACATCTGTCTCCCACAGTAATCCCCCAACAGCTGGGCACACATTGCAGCTTAGCCTGCTTCAGCCTCTCTTCCTCAATGTAAAGCTGGGATCACCTCCCCCTCACAACTGCCATGGATATTGTTGGGACTCCCTGCAGTTCTGCTGCTGTGGGTGGGCACAGCTATTAATAGCCCATTCCTCTCAAACTATTTTATCTGCTCAGGGTGATTCAGCTGTGGAACTCCCTCTGCCCAGAGCAAGCTTTTGACTTTCAGCAGAACAAGCAGAACCAGGAGAGTGAGGGAGAATGAACACACACAAGACCTGCGTGCCTGAGGAGCAAACAGGTGAGAGCTGAACGAGGCCTGAGAGCTGCTCTACCTGCTCCAGGATGCACCAGACGCATGAACACATCCCAGCAGCTTCCCTCAATGCCAGGGCTCTTGGAAACCAGCAGAAGTTGTAGAGGATGGAGAGAGATCTCCTTTCCCTCCTCTTCCCCAGTGCTTTAGAGTGAGCCCCACCTGTGCTGGCTGACTCCTCGGGAAGCCAGGTTGGCAGGAAGCATGTCACAGATATGGGTAAATCCTCCTTGACGTGCAGGGCTGTTTCTGCAGGGACACCATGTCCACAGCCACAGACTCAGTATGTTAGGCTGTCCTGCAGCAGCAGCATGGCTCACTGCAGCTCAAGGCTGTCTCCTGCTCCACTCAGGTGCCCCTGCAGTAACAGCTCTCCTGCGCCTTGGGCCTGGCCTTTGGTAGCAGATCCTCAGTGGGTGTGCACTGGCAATCCTGCACCGGTTTATGCACACTGACCCTGCTCTGCTGTTGCATCCATGTGCCCTGGAGCACACACACCTTTGACATTCACAGCCACACCAAGCCCCTGGCAGAGGGGGGGACTGATCCCACATGTCCCAACAGGCAGTGGTTCCTAGAGAGACCTTTGTCCCCAGCAGCACAGTTCTCAGAAAGCCTGGGCTGCTGTTCATACACACCTGAAGCAGGAAAAAGCCTCCTCCCACTGCTGTCGCTGCCAGCTTTCCAACTTTCTGGAAGATGAATCCAGTACACCTACAAACCAACCAGCATTCAGTTAGGAGAACAAAACCACACACACTACTCACTCTGCTTCCCACAGGCAAGGCTGCCTTTGGCAGCAGGTACCCAGGACTGGATTCTGACAAACAGCAGAAGAAACCCCTGTGCAACCAGAGAGAAGGATTTGCACCCAGACAAAATTGATGCTTTATAGCTTTTCACTTTGTGCTGTCACATTCTTATCTCTTCAACCTCATCCTTCTCCCAAAAGAGCAACCAGAAACCTGTGATTTCACCAAAATCAACAAGTGATTTTACATTTTGATGTTGGGGTTTTTTTTTAAACTGGTATAATCTCTGAGGGGAAATTAGGGAGCACATCTGCTGCTCCATGACAGAACATGGGGAGCAAATCACAAGCCTCTTTCTTACTTATGTGTAAAGTAAGCAGCAAACAACTACTTACTTTATCTCTTAATTTCTCAGAAGAGAAAAAGGATGGAACAAGCACACAGCAGTGATCTAAGGCCATACTGGTCTCCAAAGCAGGTTACCTCCTTTCAACATGAAAAGCATTCCTGCAGCCAGCACCACCCCACTGCTCAGTCATGCAGCCACGGGCAGGTGTGCTCTGCCACCCAAACCACACTTCCCTTGGAACATGGTTCCTTATGAGCACTGCAAACAACACAGTAACCTGCCTTCACCCATTTCTGAACACACAGTGAAGATATCAGGGAGGGGTGGCCAGGTCACACTTGTGTGAGAAGACAAAGCTCTGTCATACACTGTTAAATAATCACCCCGTTGCCAGGTCAAGATAAGGGTCATGGTAAGAGGCAAAGCAGTGATTACATAAAATGTTCAACTCAAACGATGCTGTGGGAATGAAGTTACAAATAGAGCCACACTCAGTCCCAGCTACAAGTGACAGGAAACCCTGGGAACTATGAGCCCAGGAGGTTTTTAATGCAGATGCCTGAAGCACATCCACCTCCAGTGGAGAAAGCATCCTTGTTTCAAGGGGTTCATATCTGCCTGTCCTAATTCAACAGCACCACTTTTTGCCAGAAGTTAAAAATAATTACAGACTGGTGCCATTTTCTTCTCTTAGAGACAGTGTCAGTTCTTCAAGTCATAGACAGCATTTAAGACGTCCCAGAGCTCAGCAGAGCATGCCAGGGGACAGCAGGCTGAGCACCCGCCTGCTCTGAATGACTGACACGCGATCACCCAGCACCTGTCAGCGTGACCCCAGAGACCCAGCCAGCCCTGCCAGGAGCCGCAGGGGCAGCCCCGGCCCGTCTTACCATCCCGTGATCCCTCCGATCACCAGCTGCGTGGCCACATTGTATTTCTCAGCGCTCGACCCCGAGTTGGGGGCGAACATCTTGCGCCACCAGGGCCGGTTCTTGGTGTACTCCGCCAGGTCCAGCACGTTGAATGTGTCGTCCTTCGCACCTGCAGGCACCTGGAGAGGCTCAGTGCCGGGACTACCGTACCGCAGCCCCCTGCCGCTGCCCCGCGTCTGCCCAGGGGCACGGGAGCCCTGCCCAGACACACAGCTCCCGGGCACCGGCACTCCCCCAGGGCCTCCGGGAATTCCCACGTCCCTCAGCCCCCTCCCAGGGCCTCCGGGACCCCGTGCCCGGGACCGCTCACTCCCTCGGAGACGCCCCTGGCAGAGCGGCCGGGGCCGGGGGCCCGTGCCCGGAGCCGCCCCCTCGGGCCCTCAAGCGGGGCCAGGCCCCGGCAGCCGCCGCCGCGCGGTGCAAAGCGAACGACACCGCGCCCTGCGGCGGGGAGGCCGAGCTGGGGGAGCCGGGGACCCGCTGCCAGGGGGAGAGGGGTGGGGGGACCCGCGCCCCGAGCCATCCCGGCCAGCCCAGCCCGGCCCGGCCCGGCCCGGCCCACCTCCGCCCGGCACCGCCATGACGCCGCTGCGCTCCGCGCAGGCGCGGCCACGGTGCGCGTCACCGGGAGCGCGCGACAGCGGGGCGAGGGGAGAGGGATCGGGGGAGAGAGGGACTGGGGGGGAGAGAGGGACTGCGGGGGAGAGAGGGACTGCGGGGGAGAGAGGGACTGCGGGGGAGAGGGAGCGGGAGAGGGAGGGACTGCGGGAGAGAGGGACTGCGAGAGAGAGGGATCAGGAGAGAGGGACTGCTGGGGAGAGGGAGCGGGAGAGAGAGGGACTGCGGGGGAGAGGGATCAGGAGAGAGGGACAGCGGGGGAGAGAGGGACTGCGGGAGAGAGGGACAGCTGGGGAGAGGGATCGGGAGAGAGGGACTGCGGGGCAGAGAGGGACCCTCCGCCCGGCACCGCCATGACGCCGCTGCGCTCCGCGCAGGCGCGGCCACGGTGCGCGTCACCGGGAGCGCGCGACAGCGGGGCGAGGGGAGAGGGATCGGGGGAGAGAGGGACTGGGGGGGAGAGAGGGACTGCGGGGGAGAGGGATCGGGAGAGAGGGACTGCGGGGCAGAGAGGGACAACGGGAGAGAGGGACTGCGGGGGAGAGGGACGGAGAGATTGGCAGGCACGGAGAGGGGGGCGGGAAGGAAGAAAGAGGGGCCCGAGGGGAGCGGGACAGGAGGGAAGAGGGGTCCGAGGGGAAGGGGGAGGAACGGGAGCGCGCGTGGGTGCACGGGGGCGCGCCTGGGCCTCAGCTGTGCCCCGGTGATGTCCCGGGCTGTGTCCCGGCTGTGCCCCGGTGATGTCCCGGCTGTGTCCCGGTGATGCCCCGGGCTGTGTCCCGGTGATGCTCTCGGCTGTGTCCCGGTGGTGGCAGGAACACATCTTACTGTTTCCCCTGAAATAATGACACCTCTGATTTCTGAGCCATTACTCACTCCTGCAGAGCAAATGCCCCCTACTTCCCAGCTGGGGATGCAGCTGCCCACGGTGTAGCAAAGATGGAAATCCCAAGACACAACAAGAAAAAAAAAAAGTCATGGAGAGATTGTGACGGAGGAGACTCGACCCTCCTTTAGGGTTAATGGAAAGCAGTGTGTGAGCGGGAGCAGGAGCACAGGCGGCGTGGGACGGGTAGAGGAACACACACTCTTCTAGGAACTAAAAACTTCTAGGAGCTAACAGCAGCACTCATCTGCCCTGGTGAGGACATCCTGCTAGTAAACATCCCAGCACCTCGTTGCCCCTTGCACGTAGGTCAGACGTTTTGGGAACTGCAAGAATGTCCCTCGTGTTTCCAGGAATGTCCCACGTGTTTCCTGCACTGCCCTGATCAGGGGGAACCGGCTGGAGCAGTGTGTGCATTCAGACCCAAGTGACGGGACAGCACTTCCCTGGGCACGGGAAGAAAAGACGTGGCTGGGGAAGGGGTGGCTGGAGGCAGGGGGGCCTCCAGAAATGCAGTCTGAACACCAGTGTCAGGTGGTGCTGGGGTCTCCTGCGTGTCTGGTACATGACATGTCCTTGGGTTTGTCTCCCCTGCCCTGAGCAAGGGGATGCCCTCATGCTCCTTTGGTACCTCCAGCTGTGGGCTCTGCTGCAGGTGATCCCAGGGGCATCTGATGGCCTGGGCATGGCCTCATCTTTCCTAGTACATGTGCACCTTCATCTGGTGCAGGTGCTCAGCTTCCTCCAGCAGGAGAGAAGGATCTGGGCTGACAAGGTGGAGGTGGTTCAGGGTTGGGAGCTCCTGTGTGGTGGGGTCAGGCAGAGCCTGGTGTGGTGGGTGCAAGGACAGCAGCCCAGAGCCACTGCAGCTCCCTGCCAGGTGCCTTCCAGGTGTTCAGCTTTGGAGGTACAGGCATGAAGCACCATTCCCCATCTCAAAGGCTTTCTCTCCCTCCTGGCACCACCACAACCTCCCAGTCTCCATGGCCAGGCTGAGCCCACCAGCCCATGGGAGCTTCCAGTGAGTGCTTCGGCTGCCTGACTCATCCAGAGACACCTCTGATGTGAGGAACGAGAGAAAGCAGAAATGCTCCACTGACCCACTTACTGCAGGGAAACCCAGCAGAGGAAAGCAGGCTTAGTTTTGGGATCTCCTCCATGGCAGTTTCTCTACTCTGATGCTAGGGTAGGTCCATCAGGGATGGATTTTCTGCATACTCAGGGGTGTTGATGGCTGCACTGCTGTTCCCTGGGTGTCCCTGTGCCTGTGAGATTGCCCATCCAAGAACTGCACTGGGCTGCACCCCCTCTTTACTCCCTCACTGCTGGGGTGCAGTAATTTGGAAGTGCTGATATGAGGGGCCCTGCCTGGTCCTCCAGACAGATCTGTGCCATGTGGCACAGCTGTTTCCTGGCGCCAGGAAGGGTGAGTGCCCTGTGCCTGGCTGCTGCTTCTGAGATACTCAGTGTTCCTGAGAAGCTGTCACGAATCACTTGTTCTCTCTCACACACACACACACAAAAGTTCCAGAAGAGATTAGACATGGTTCAAATGATTCTGAGTAATTTTTATCTGCTCCAGTCTGTTATTGTTCTGAGAACTGCACATTTCAGGGAAACAACCAACGCTTTCTGCGTGCATGTGGGTCCTTGACTCTGGCAAAAAATGTTCTCTGGGAGTCTCCATGGCAGGAGCCTGTCGTGGCTTTTCCATCACATTTGCACAGGAGGACAGTGCCCTTGGGGATGGCAGATGAGCTCCAGGCAGGACTGGAATGCCATTGCCTCTCTGCAGCTTTCTCAAAGGCACAGCTGCTGCCTGGCCCAGCCATGGGTGATGCTGGCAGTTTGCAGAGGCTCCCACGTGTGTTTGCAGAGCCTTTGGAAGCTGCACAGCTGTTAATGGCACCCACTGGCTGGGACCATGCTTGCTCTTGCTGGAGCATGAGGGGTCCAGCTTGGCGTGCTGGGCCAAGGAGGAGCTGGGCTCCCTCTGGATGCACAGCTGGCCTTGGCCTGATTTGCTCCACGCTGGCTCTCGTGTGCCTGCACAAAGTGCTGCTGTGTCCGGCTATGGCCAGGATCTGGGCCCCCTCCCCAAGTTACTTCCAGTTTTCACACCTGGATTCCCTTTCCCACAGCCTTGAATATCTTGATAGTATTTTCTTTCTGGCCTCTTGGGTTAGACCTTTTCTCTCAGGTTTACTCTTATTTCCCTGGGCCAGGAACCTGGAGCTGCCTCCCAGTAGCTGGTTAATGGTTAATTCAGCACTTGTCAGTGTCACAACCATTAATTTCTGTCTGTGTCCAGGCTCCTGCCACTGTAGCCCCCAAGGGATGCTTTCCTGACTGTCCTCTGTGACCTCTAGATGTTGTCATCCCACAGTGCCCAGAGCATCCCTGCCAGGGTTAGAGTCAGAAGTTTCTGTGTTGCCCCATGCAGAGCTCTGCAGAGCTGGAGCACCCCTCCTGGCAGCCTACCCCAACCCTCCCACATGCCCATCCCATGCTGCCACCCCTCAGCTGCCCTCTTTATGGGCATGTTGTCTGCCTGGCAATGTTCTCCCCACCTGCTTGTTTCTGGAAGTCTTTCCAGATGAGTCCCACAGCACCAGCAGATTCCCAGATGGGATGACTAAAATAAAGTCACGTCCATAGCAAGGGACACTGATGCCTGAGGCACAGCCCAGATCTCCCATACCTCTCTTCCCTCCAGTATTGAATACTCTTCTGCTTCACTGCAGTAGGGCAGGATGCAGAGCACCCTGGGGCATTCTCAAATGTGACACACCACTTGCTTTGCCCCAAAATACCTCCTGGAAAAAGTGAGGTGAGTTGTTGCTCACAAAGAAAAGGAGCCCCAGGCTAGTCATGGAGCCAGCTGTGCATGTACAAGAATCAAAATGTTTCTTACTCACTGTTTGCTTCCCCAGGAGCAAGGTGGGTGGTGTGGGGGAATCACTTCCTGCCCTGTGCTGAGGATTCGTGTCAGAGACCCCCAAAAGCCCATCCCTTCACTGTCTCCACTGTGTCCCTCTGTTTCCTAGACACCAAGACCTGTCACATGGATGCTTCTGCACACACTGGGACTGTCACCAAAGGGGTCACTGTCCCTGTTGCACTCCTGCTGCCCTGTGACATGATTTACGGGACACTTCCCCACCTCACTCATCCAGGGGATGCTGGGACCATGCAGGGCGTTCCTCCTCATCTTCCTGCCTCCGTGAGCCAAGGGACAACCACGTGGGAGCGTGTGTGCCTGAGCACACGTGTGTGCATTGGTGAGGGGAGGGGGATTTCACGGGCTTTTAAAAAGAGAGATTGAAAGTTTGTGAGTAAAAGGAAAGAAATTTGTAAAAACATTTCAGTGCATCTTCTCTGAGCTTTACTGCAGGACCCTGGAAAAAGAGGAGCAGCTGGTGGGAAGGGAACTCCAGGGATCATCCCAACCCACTCCCTCCCATGTGGCTTGAGGCAAGGTTGTGTGGCCAAACCATCACTGTTTGGGCATCCCAGAGACAGGGATAAGTCACATGTGTACATCTGCATCCCTGGCAACCTGCTCTGCTTCTCTTCAGAGGTGACAGAGAAGGTGAGACCAGGCAAAGACCACACCTAAATTCTGCTGCCTCTGCAACCCTCCCTTTCCTCCTCTTGCTCCCAGACAGGAGCCAGGACACTGAGCCAGCGGAACTTACCGCTGTGCTTGCCCTCCCTTTCCTTTTGTTTTTTCCTCTCCTCCTGCCACTGCCAGAGGAAGAGCAGGAGAGTCCACCAGTCACAGACTGCTCTTTGCACAAACCTGCTCAAGCCATTCTCCTCCTGACATCTTTGAGAAACTCTTCAGTGCTCCGAGTGAGTCTGTGGGTGCCGGCTTTAATCATCATCTCCGGTGGATTACAACAGCTGGATGAGAAGATAAAGGCTTTTCTCTCCTCTCTTCTTTCTCATTCCTTCCTTTTCACTTTTCCTCCTGAAGTCAGAGCAGTTCCCAGCCAGGAGGCATGGTGCTGGTGGGAGCCCTGTGCAGCCTTCTGCTCCTCTGCCTGGTTGAGGAGGGCATCAGCAAAGTGAGAAGATACTACATTGCTGCAGTGGAAACCACCTGGGACTACACACACAGCGACCTGCTGTCCGTGCTGCAAGCACCTGCAAGGTAAAGCTCTTCCTTTTGCAATTCTAGAGCCCTGTCCTGGGTGTTCTCCCACCCTGGCATGTGGCACTGCGAGCTTGGCTCCAGGCAGGCAGGTACACGGGGGTAGCCTGGCAAGGTGGGTGCACTGAGCTGCTGGTACAGCTGGGAAGGGGTGGTGTGCTGGGGAGCCACTAAGTGCAACCCCTGATGAGGGACAGGTGGAATTGAGAGAGAAAGATGCCAACCTGCTCTGCATGACTGTTCTGCACTGTTTTACCTTAATGCCATTTGCCTAGGACCCTTTAAAGTCTGTGCTAGGAACCATGAGCTGATTTTCCAGCCTGTGCTTTCTTTTCTGCTCTGCATCCTGGGGGTTTTGGGGAAGTGTGAGGGGAGATGGGCACCTGTGAGTCCCTGGGCACTGCAGAGGAAAGTTGGCTGTTCCCCCCTGACATAACTCTGAGCAGCAAAGGCTTTCCACTGTGTCTGCCCCTCGTAAAATCCAGCTTTAGTTATTTATATCTTTGTGTACATTACATTGCTGGGGCTGAAATTTTTCCTCAAAGAAATGAAAATGATTTGTAGCGTTTTGGCACAGCATGGTATTCATGCACAGTGCCAAGGAGGAAGGCATGGTGGTTTTGCCTGTGTACTTTGAAGTAGGAAGGAAAAATGGGAGTTGCATTGCTCAGGCAATGGTGTTGTCTGAAGACACGGCTGGCTTGGACATGCATGGTTGTGAATGCTCTGAGGTTGGCATGGAGAATGGAGCTGGATGGCTACACCCCTGTGGATCAAGGAGTGCCCATTCCCTGTGCCCTGCTTCCATATCCCCTTCCCCAGACTCTGCTGAGGCAGTATCAGCCCATGACCCCAACTCAGACCCACAGTGGCCTGAGCAGCGAGGAGCTGTGGTCAGGCACTGGAAGCCAGGTTCTGGGGATGACCCAGGTCAGTCTGACTAGCTGCTGTAATCACTGTATCCCAGTTATGTTGTTTTTCCCCCCTTTTGATTACTTCAGTAGGAAAATTGCACCCAGCATCCCCATTTTTCTAATCCCCCCTGCCCTGCTTTCACTGATGCTGCCCTCAGATCCATTAGGCTGTGCTAGAGATGATGACTTCCCTCACGCTGTTAATATAGCCCTGTGGCTTCCCATTCCAGCACTGGCTTTATGATGCACTCAGGCACTATTCCTGACCCTGGAGTGACTCAGGGGCCTGACCCTGCCTGGGGATGAGTGGGGCATTGGCAGGCAGTGTGAGGTCACTTGTCCTTCTCTAAAAAGGGGGAAGATAACATTGGCTGTCTCAGAGGGACTTGCTGGTGTGCTCCAGCCTGGAGAGGCAGAGAACTCCTGGGCAGTGCAGCTCCTGGGGAGCTGATGGGAACCAGGGCTTGCTTTTCGTGGCTGTTCCCAGCTGCATGGTGGTGCCTTTTCCCTGGCCCTGCAACCTCAGCCCAGTTCCCTGCTACAGAGGAGGGCACAGGAAAATAGCCAGGCTGGATATAAGGGACATGCAGGGGTGAGCCAGGAAAGTGTGGCAGGTAGAGCTGGGCTGTCCCAGAGCTGTGTGTGTGCTGCCTTCTGCTCCACATGTCAGTGCACCAGCATCTCATGGCAGCTCCCAAAGGAGCATCTCCAGCCAGGACCTCCAACCCCTTGTATGTATCCAGGGGTTTCTCTGGCATGTTTGTAGAAAGCTCTGTCAAATTAATCGGCTACAACACAGCAGGCCAGAGCTGCTCACACCTTCCCCATGATTTCAGTTTCTCTTCCTCCCAAACACAGCCCCACCACAGGGCCAGAGCCAGGACCAGCACATCCTGCAGTGGCTCCAGGGATCTCAGCTCAGACATGGAGCTGGTGGACACGTAGCAGCAGCCCGTGTCTGAGTGTTTTGGCAGTGCAGGATGTCTCCCAGCTCCAAGAGATGAACAGATAGTGTGGCTAACAATGCTGATCCAAGGTGCCAGAAACTTATCGGCCTGCCTCAGTTCCAGCTGCCACTGGGGAAGGAAGTTCACGGGGACCCCAGTTGCAGAGGACTGGCCAGAAGAACTTTGATCAGACATCCCCGGGCTGAACTCCGCCTGCTTGTCTCCTGTGGGCTCTGCTCTGCCAGGACTGGGACCCAGCACTAAGCCCTGCTGTCACTAAGAGCCCTCCCAGCCATGCCCCTGCATGCCAGCAAAATTCCCCTGGCTCCAGAGGATTTCTGCCTTGTTTACTGCAGAATTAGCAGGACCAGACCATCATATCTCAGAGATGCATTCTCAAATTTGGGCTTTCTGTGAGCTAGAGATTAAGGCACAGCTTCCTGAGAGTGGACAGCTGAGTGTCAGCAACCCTGCAGCTCAGTGTGGGGACACTGGGGAGCAAAGCTGGGGCAGGACCCACTGCCATAAAGCCAGGAATGATAATGGTTCATGGGCAAAGTCAGCTGAATGCAGTGGCACTGCTCCCTGGGGCCGTGCCTGCTTCCTGGGGGCTCCCTGCCAGCCTGGATGTGGGGTTACAGGAGCTGGGTGCCTGCCTGTGGGGTTACAGGAGCTGGGTACCTGTGGGGTTACAGGAGCTGGGTACCTGCCTGTGGGTTTTTTGTGGGCTCCCGTCCTGCTCTGCCCCTGAGGAGAGGGGACCCTGCTCTCCCCACAGCACCCTCCAGCTGCAGGTGGCTTCCAGCCAGTGTTGTGGGGTTGAGTGTGCATTGCCTTTCCTAAATTTGAGTCACTCTGTCTCCTTCCTCTTCCACTTGAGGAAGAGTTGCAAAGGGAAACTCTGCTCCAATGAAGGCTTAGTCAGAGCAGGACAGCAAACCTTCCCTGCTTCTTAAGTGGGAAAAAAATACCACCTGGCTTTTGCTCCAAACAAAACAAGGCTGGAAAGGTCTGTCTGGTTACTGGAAATGGTCTTAGTCCTGGGGCTGATAAGTCAGCCTCTAAAATCCTTGAAGAAATTAATCCCTTTGTTATCCTGATAAACAGGCTGGATTCCTTCTGGAAAATGAATTTGTTAAGCTTCTAACAGATAGAAAGTGGCCAGCAGAGATAAGTGAGGTGTGAAATACATTCAAGGCTCTTTTATCTTCCTGCTGTGAAGTGTAAATCCCATTTTGGGCAGAAAAGAAACAAATGTGGGGACATTGCTCAGACACAAAGCAAACTGCCACTACCTGCCAGCAGCCTGACAGTCTCTTTCCTGGGGGGAAGCTGGGGAGGATGCGAGTTACACATGATGTGATCTGTTTGCCACACCTGAAGGTGCTGGGGTTGGGGTGGGGGTGGCTGCAGGGCAGAGGTCACCATGGCACTGCCAGTGCTCTGTGCCTGCTGCCAAGGAAACCTGCAGCTGGACAAGGCATGAGGCAGGAGACTGGCAGCAATGCCTGCTGCTGTGCCCTGCCCCAGCTGCATCTGGGTATGGCCTTGTGTCTTGTTCCATCATGACTAACACCACAACACTAATCACTGCCCTGCTGTCATCTGCATGCTGAGCAAAACATTCCCAATCCTACCTGGGAGCTGTCAGGAAATCCAAAGGACACAGCAGGGTGAGCAATCCCTGGGGCTCCAGCTGGCAAGCTGGTGGGAAGGGAAGGAAGAGGATGGCTGTTGCCCATGCATGGATGGGTCTGTGCAATCAGCCTTGGCTTTCCTTCCTCCTGCAGCATTTTGGGGCATGCAGGCCCACGTCCCCCCCCGGCCGGTGTCCCTCCCCGGTACAGGAAAGCTGTTTTTGTGGAGTACCCCGATGGCTCCTTCACACAGCCCAAGCTGAAGCCAGCCTGGATGGGTAAGAAGCACCTGCAGTGTGGGGAACTCCAGCAATCCTTGACAGCCACCAAACTCATCCTGGGCTGGCTGCTGGCTGCCCTTCAGCCTGGAGCAGGAGGGCAGCTGGGTGGATCCGGGTATGGCAGAGCTCCTGGGGGTGCAGAGGGCCTTGCTGGAGCTGATGCAGCTGATGCTGCTGTGCTGCACAAGGGACAAACACTAACTGGGCTTGTGGGAAGTCAGGACCCTTTGGGGCTCCTGGCAGGGTGTGAGCTGCCTGATTCCAGCTGCCTGACCTTATTGTCTTATCCCCTTCAGGCCTTCTAGGCCCCACCATCCGAGCAGAAGTCCATGACACAGTGGTCATCACGTTTAAAAACCTGGCCTCCCGCCCCTACAGCCTCCACGCTGTCGGCGTGTCCTACTGGAAGGCGTCGGAAGGTGAGCTGGCAACATCAGGTGCTGCAAGTCCTTGTGTGGCAGCTCCTGCTCTGCCTCCTGCCTGCCAGGTGTGCATCCCTCCTCACCTTCATGTCCCTCACATTCATGTCCTTCTGCAAGGACAGATGGTCACAGAGATGGCCTAGCTTGGGGGAGCAACGTGACCATGCCCAGCCCAGAAATGAGCTGAGCAAACAGTGCAGACAAACCTGGATCAGGTACAGAGATAATACACAGCTTAAACCTAAGGCTGGATGCTTAGGGCAAGGAAGACTGTGCTGTCCAGCCTCAGGGCAGGTGCACAGCCCAACATGGGAGCCTGGCACAGCTCTGCTACTGCCCTGAGACCTGTCACTGCCTGTGGGACTCACTCCCCTGGGATGGAGAGGGGCTGTGTTCTGGGTTGGAGGAAGGGGCATTTCTGTAGCCATGGTGTGCTGGGGAGGAACCTTCAGTGACATCTGGCCATTTCTTTGGTTTTAGGAGCAGGGTATGAGGATGAGACCAGCCAGCCAGAGAAGGAGGGGGACAGGGTGGATCCTGGGAAGACACACACATATGTCTGGGAAATCCAGGAAAACCAGGGCCCGACGGACGACGACTCAGCGTGCCTGACCCACTCCTACTCCTCCAACACCAACAGCGTGAAGGACATCAACTCTGGTTTGATTGGAGCCCTGCTGGTGTGCCGACCTGGTAAGGACAGCACCACATGCAGCCATTACTAAAAGCAGAATAATCACAGATGCCTTCCTGAGGGTGAGCATGGCAGTGGAGTCAGTGAGCTGTGCTCAACCAAAGTGCTCCTGGGATTCAGTCTTGAAATCCTGACAGCACAAGGTACAAGAAGATGTGACTGGAGTAAGATTTGTCATCTCTGGCTGAGACATATCCTGGAGGTATTTGTCCAGACCTGGAAATGACTGGGCACTGTCTGCAGGCTCCAGTGACTCACCAGGAGCAGTTTCTCCACTGAGCAAAGGTCTAAGAGGAGGCACTACAAATTGACCTTTTGGTGCCTTCTGGGGGCAGCTGCCTCTCAACCATGGACTTTTGGGGACTGCAAGACTGGAAGCAGGGCTGTTGCAATTTGAGACATGACAAAAGCAAACCACAGCCTGACCTTGGTTTACCAGTTCTTGAAGAGCACAAAGGGAATTCTCTGGGTGGTGGTTGCTGAACTTTAAAGAAATCCATCTCATTGCATCTTGCAGGGACCCTGGCGAGTGATGGGAATGAGAGCCTGCAGAAAGAGTTTGTGCTGCTCTTCGCAGTGTTTGATGAAGGTAATTGCTGACTGAGTGGTGTCAGACCCTGCATTCAGCCAGGTCTGGGGCATTTGCTTTGCTATGTGTGAGCACAGCTTCCCAGCACCCACACCCCCTCCCAAGGGTTTAAGCCTGTGCAGTCCCCAGCCAGTGTGTTCCTGGTGCAGTACTGCCCCTCCTTCTCTTCCCCAGGTGCAGGGAGCTTGCAGCCCCCTCCCCAGCTCTGCCATGCCATGCCCTGGCCCTGTTGCCATCACACATGTTAAGAGGGGAGTCATTCCCTGTCACGTGTAGTGGTCATCCCCACACCCATGCAGAGCCATGGCCAGGTGTGCTGTGGATTTCCACAGACACCACACATCTGACCTCCCTGAGAAGGTTTATTTTGCTTTGAAACGCTCTCAAGTGAAAGCTGACTGCATCCTCCTCTCTCCCCAGGGAAAAGCTGGTACTCTGAGCAGGGTTCCCCAGCAGCTGCTCAGCCCCAGGCTCCCAACAGGACAGAGCTGCACACCATCAATGGCTACATCAATGGCTCACTGCCTGGTGAGTCCTGGTGGGACAGGGACACGGGTGGGGGCATGGGAGCTGCTAGGAGCAGGGGTGGAGCCAGGTCTGTAAACATGAGGTAGCTTGGGAAAGGATGTAAGAAAAGAGATCAAGAGGAGTTTCCAGGTGATGGATCTGTTAGGCTGTGTTCACCTCAGAGGGGGTCTTATCTTTCAGCTCCTTGATCTGCCTTTCCCATTTACAGCAGGGCAGGAGCTGTTTGCAGCTGTCTGTGTTGCCAAGTGCAGCTGACTTCCTTGGAGCTCTCCAGGAATAATGCTGGTAGCAGAGTTTTATCTTTCATAGCCCTGTGAACAAGGCTGGAGGTAGCATTTAGCTCTCATTAAATCACCATCACAGGATTTTGGGAATAGGACCGTGGAATCATTTAGGTTGGAAAAGACCCTTAAGGTCATCAAGTCCAACTGTAAACTTAGTACTGCCAAGTCTACCACTAAACCATGTCACTGAGTGTCCCATATACAAGTCTTTTAAATACCTGGGCAGCCTGTCCAAGTGTTTGACAACCCTTTCAGTTAAGAAATTTTTCCCAGGATCTGGCACAACCTTCCCTGGTGCAGCTAGAGTGATAAGGTCTTCTCTCAGACTCCTCTTCTTCAGAAGACCAAAAGAAAAGGCTGGGTTTGATCTCAGTGGACACAAAAGTTGCTGTTTTCTGGTGTTCTCTGGGGAAAAGATCTAGAGCTGCCTGAGAGTGAGGAATCTCCAAGGCAAACTGGGAAACACTGTCAGGGGAGTCATTACCACCAGCAGCTTTGATGAACCACATCCTAAAACATCCCACTTGGGCCTGGCCATTCTCCAGTAAAAAAAAAAAAAAAAGCAAAAGTCCCCTAAATTCCCTGTCCTGATGGGTTCCTAGAGGTTAAGAGCTGAGGAAGCCTCATGCACAGTGAGTTTTCCCTGGAGAAGTTATGCACCTCCAGTCAGCATCCCCCTCCCTGGATGCAGCACCTGGCCTGAGAGGTGTCTGATGGAGAGCTGGAAATGGAGAGCTGAGGGCCTCAGGATGGAACCTCCACCCAGTTTCCTCCAGGCCCCTGGGATCTGTTCCAGTCACCTCCGCACTCTGCCAAAAGCGAGCGCTTGACGCTGTGTCTGACTTTGTTTGGCTTGAGCTTCCATGAACTTGTTATTCACTTTCCTGCTAGATTACAGAGCCTTCAGCACACATCAGTTTCTCCCCAGGAAAGTATTTTTACAATGCAGTCAAGTTCTTTCCCATTTCCTAAGCACACTGAGCTCTTTGAGTGACTCTCTGGAAGGAATTTTCTCCAGCACTCAAATAATCCTGGTGACCCCTCTCTGCCCTTTGTGATATTTCAGCTACTGCTGAGATGTGCTGGAGCCCTGCTCCAAATGAGTGTTTTAGTATCAGGCTTGCCAATGTTGTGATCAGACAAATGACTCTCCTCTCCAGTGCCCAATTTCTCTACTTATAGTCAAGGAGGACATCTCTCTCTTTTGCCACTGCATCCCACTGTGAGCTCCTACCAGCAACCCTCCCAAAGTCCCCCAGCCCGTAAATCTAGTCTTGTCTCAGGGGGATGGTGTGACCCGTGCCTCTGTTTTGCTCAGTCCACATTCATGTGTGATTTCTCCAGCCTGAAGCCAGCACAGGAGCAGGGGACTCTACCAGCATGGGTCAGACTCTGAGTCTATGGCACCAAGAGTGGGGACAAGGGCTGGGCACAGTGCTGACTCCTGGCTGCCTTCCTTGTCCCTGGCAGGTCTCACACTGTGCCTCAAGAAGCAGGTCCACTGGCATGTGATCGGGCTGGGCTCTGGGCCAGAAGTCCACTCCATCTTCTTTGAAGGCCACACATTCCTGGTGAGAAGCCACCGTCTCAGCAGCCTAGAAATCTCCCCTGCCACATATCTCACAGCCCAGACCATGCCAGGAACAGCTGGCTGGTTTCGGATGTTCTGCCAGATACTGTCCCATCAGCAAGGTAACCTTATTTTCCATGAGCTCGGGGGAAGAGCAGGTCAGGGGATGGCCTGGGCTCAGGGTTCTGTGCAGTGCTGCAGCTCCAAGGCCCCTCCTGCTCCCTAGTGTTACATCCACCTGCAGTCTGGCCATACCAGATGGCATGGGTTGGTCCAGGTTGGCCCATTTGATGGGAACAGTAGTGGAAAAGATTTCTCCCAGGCAGGGCTTGGGTGAGTGCCTGCCTGCATTGGCACATCAGTGTGACCCTTTCTGCCTGGCTTGTCTAACCCAGTTGGCATGGAGGCCTTTGTGAAGGTGGAGGAGTGTCCTGAGGAACGCCTGCTGAAGATGGGGAAGCAGTTAAACGAGCCAGAGGACCTGGATTACCCTGAGGAAGATGAGGAGACTTATCACGTGATCCAAGTGCGCTCTTTTGCCAAAGACAGGCCCATGACCTGGACTTACTACATTGCAGCTGAGGAGATGGACTGGGACTATGCCCCTGTGAAGCCAGTGTCTCTGGACAGGTGAGAGTGGGCATGTGTGCTCATGAGGCTGCTCCTCAAGGCAGCCCTGCCAGCTCTTCCCCTTCTCCCCAGAAACTGCTTTTCATTCTGCCCAACCTGAACAGTTTTGTTCTTCTTTATTAACACTAACAGTATGGATGCAGGACAAGAATGGTTTTGGAGAGGCCATGGGAAGGCAGGACCTGGCTTTGCTCCATTTTACCAAATGCCCTGCTGAGACATTTGTGTCCAGGGCACTTGTCCTTCTGTCACCAATGCCTCTGAAATCAGAGTCTTCTGAGCAGACAACTCCTGGTGACCTTCTCAGCCATCTGCCAGGTCCTTGGGTGATGGAAGGTCTTGCTCTGTTTCTGACTGTGTCCTGCATGTGACCATTTGCTCTTTCTCTGCCTTTGCCTGCAGAAGCATGGCGAGCCTGTACCTGGAGGCTGGCCCACAGCGGGTCGGTTCAAAGTACAAGAAAGTGGTGTTTGTGGAGTATGAGGATGCAACCTTCAAGAAGCGCAAGGTGTCCAGCCAGCAGGACAAGGGAATTCTGGGGCCTGTCATCAAGGGGGAGGTGGGAGATCAGTTTAAGGTAAGAGAAATGCAGCTTTCCACTGTAAGGGGAAATTTCAGAGCGTGATGCTGTTCCTACTAATAGCTCTTGGCTTGTGGCTGAGGTCTGATTTAAGTCATTCAGGTGCTCTCTCATGTTTGGCAATGTTCAAAGTTCACTGGAAAGGCAGATGGTACTGGCAGCTTAAGGTAAATACTCTCAGTAAAATGCACAGGATATGCCCAGTCCCTCTGATCTGACTTCACTGAAGGTGTCTTAGGAACTGTGTGAGTTCATACATGACACATCACATCCAGCACCTTCCTCTGAGGCAGGACTGTCCTCTCATCTTCTGCTCTTCTCCATCTGCTTGCTGTTACCTCACAGCACTGGAGACTGTCACTTTTGTCTCCCGAAGTGCCTCTCCTGACCACTTGACTTGTTTGCAGCTGGGAGGAATGGGATGGTTTCCAGCAGCTTCACATTTCTGCTCCCTCCCTGGGGTTCCCTGTGCTGTTGTGGGCATGTGACAGAGCTATTTAGAGAAATAAAGGAAGGGCTTCATGCAGTGAAGTGGGGAGCACTTTAAAGCTCTTGATTGCTGTGCATACTTAATGTCCTGGTCCTCTGGGGCCTGGATTGATGGCCCTCTTCTGACTCATGTGTAAAGTAAGACTAAAGACAGCAACTTTCTCTTTAATAAATCTGATATTTTCATGCCCTCCTTAAAACAGGCACCTCTGAAAACAATGGACAGTATAGGCTGATCACAGAGAAACTGTGGTTTCTTGTACTCTGACTTTGTGATCCCAGACCTGTCTGGGTCCCTCCTGTTGATCACTGGCAGGTTGCTAACCCCTGGGCAGTGCTGTCCAGTGATTCCCTCTCTGCAAGGACACTGAGAGCAGCTTCAAGGGCTTACAGTGATCAGAAAACACCAAACATTCCTGCTGCCTGTCCTCGTTTCAGATCGTGTTCAGGAATCTAGCCAGCCGACCCTACAACATCTACCCTCATGGCCTCACCAGCGTCAGGCCCTACTATGCCATGAGACCCTCACAAGGTAAGGCAGGCCATGGGAACTTGGGATATCTCCTGGCCATTTTTCTGGAGAGGAAACTCTGCCAGGAGAGTTTCCTGAAGCTTGTTGTCCGTTCATCCAAGCACCTGAGCTCTACAATCCCAGGGATTATGATGACCCTAGGTTCATGTTCCCATTGGTGCCATGTAACCCTGTCTTTAAGGAGGGCTTTGATGATGAGTGGGAGAAGGGCATTTTCAACCAGGGAGCTGGGACCATGTTAATTGATCCATCCTGGAGGCCTCTACCTTCTGAGGAGGCAGGATCCATCCTGGTGATCCTGCCTGTGTTTGCAGTTTATTTACAGCCCTCATTCCCTGTGCTCCCTCTGACCTGCATTTGTGTGGGGGTTCACCATGATTTAGACTCTCCCTCTTGCAGCTTTGTAGTTTTTGCTCTGGGGTTGTTTTTTCCCTCCAGGTTTCATTCCCAGAACTGCTTTCACCCCTTGTTATTGTGCTTCCAGGACCATGACTTGTGCAGGGCCATCCCACATCTCACCAGGATCCTGGGATGGGCGTGGGTGGTTCCATGTGCATCTTGTGTGATCAGGAAACCTTTCTGAGCTCTTTTAAAAACTGGGATCACCCATTTCAGGAGCAGCCCAGATATAACTGGTCTGCTCCTGGGTTGTGTGTTGCCAGAGAAAGATGTGAAGGATATTGCTATTGCCCCTGGGAAGTCGTTCACCTACAGCTGGAGCCTCACCACTGAGGATGGCCCAACGGAGGCAGATCCTCGCTGCCTCACCCGTTTCTACTACAGCTCCATCGACCCCGTCAGAGACACAGCCTCAGGACTCATTGGGCCCCTCCTCATCTGCTCCAAGAAGTCCATGGATCAGAGGGGGAATCAGGTGGGTCTTTCCTTTGTTGCCTCAACTTTTAGGCTGAAAGGCTGGAATTACTGTGGTGGGTGAATATTTAAGTAAACTGAAATTTATCTGTCCTGTTTTTTTCAACCCTGCCAGCAGTCCTAATGCCTCTGCCTTCCCCACCCTTCCTTGCATGCTCTCTTTTCCCCAAATCTGCACCCTAACTCCTGTGAAATAGCAATAAACTTCTCCATACACCCAGACTACCACAGCTACACTGAGTACCAGGGGTGCTCTGATCAGACCAGGAATAATTTCTTCCCTTTCTTTTCCAGATAATGTCAGACAACATGAGAGACCTGACAGCTACACTGGGCACCAGGGTGCTCTGATCAGACCATGAATAATTTCTTCCCTTTCTTTTCCAGATAATGTCAGACAACATGAAGTTGGTGCTGTTTTCAGTCTTCGATGAGAACCACAGCTGGTACCTGGAGGAGAACATCAAGAGGTTCTGCTCTGATGCAGCCCATGTGGATACCCAGGACCCCCAGTTTTATGCCTCCAATGTGATGCACAGTGAGTACTCAGCCAGGGGGTCCCTGCAAAGCCCCCACAGACACAGGCTCATGCCTGCCCCAGGGAGTGAGCAGGGGATGCACAGCAGCTCAGCAGCCACAGGGGGAATTTGGTCTTGAAATGTTTCACCCCTGCCCTCTTCCAGCTATTAATGGCTTTGTATTTGACAACCTGCAAACAAAACTCTGCCTGAACGACGTTGTGTACTGGTATGTCCTGAGTGTTGGGGCCCAAACAGATTTCCTCTCCATCTTCTTCTCTGGAAACACCTTCAAGCACAACATGGTCTTTGAGGACGTGCTTACTCTTTTCCCGTTTTCTGGAGAAACAGTCATCATGAGCTTGGAAAAGCCAGGTTAGTAACATGGGCTATTCTGTCAACCATGGGCTTGGCATCCCAGCAGAGATCAGTAACACTTCCAGCCAGTTCTCTGATTGGTGCCCAATTCCTTTTGACAGCTCTGAGAGCAAAGGGATCCACAGCCTGCTAGAACAGCAAAGTGATCGAAAGTGATTAAATCTTTCAAAGCTTAAATAAAATAAATTGGTTTATGGTATTTTACTTAATCAGTAGGGTGTATTAGGGTCACACATGCTGCCAAAGCAGTAAGCTGGCAGTATGTGTGACACTGCAGTAACATCAGCCTGGTGGACATTTGCAATCTTGGCTCCAAGCTTGGAGGTCAAGGGGAGCGGCAGTGCTCTCCCTGCTGTGGGTTCAGCTGCTGGTCATGCCATTTATCTCCACACTTTTGCAAGGACAGAAACCACAGCCATGGAGAAGTCAGAGAAAATATTTGCTTCAGAGTTCAGTTATATTTCCCCCCACTCAGCACTTTTCCCTTAGAGCTGTCAAACCATTTCCTTCTCACAGAGAAGACACAGGATTTACCATGTGGTTGCAACACTGATATGAAAGTCATGAACACTGCACCCTGAGCCAAGCTGTCAGGGTTTGTAGACACCCCAGGAAGCTTTCTACAACCCAGCCAAGCCTCACATCCGTTTGAGCTCAGATTCCTGTGCTTCCTCAGAAGCAGAGCAGCAGCTCAGCCGGCAGCAGGTGGCAGCTCTCTCCAGCAGCAGAGCCCAGAAATCACACATCTCACCCTCTGCTGGGAGCAAACACACTGGCTGGGGATGTGAGAGGCAGCCTTTCATTTCTTTCTCCTTCAGTGGGAGAGCTGTGGTGACTGTCTTTGGGAGAGAGGTGTGTTTGACAGCACCAGGATGTCTTTGGGGGTGGGTGATGGTGACTGCTGCTGCTGGAGGCTCTGTGGGTTCCCACTGCAGTAACTGCTCTCACCAACCTGTGCTTGGGCCCTCACAGGTGTGTGTAGCTCACTAAGCTCTGCCAGGAAACACCAGCCCTGCTGATGGTGCTTGTAAGGCTCTGATGTTGCCAGCAACACTGTGGGTCCGGCTGTAGGACACTCTAGGGACTATGAAAGCATGGAATCACTACCATGAGCCAGAGGCTGCCTGAAAATATAGGTTGCGCTAGCAAAGGAGCAGCATGGGAATGGCATCTCTTCCAATTTCCCACTGAAGTGGGCTGATGGTGTCCTTTTGGCCTCTCTTGAGACAGGTGTCTGGACACTGGGGTGCCTGAATCCTGATTTCAGAGACCGAGGGATGCATGCCAAGTTCACGGTCTCGCAGTGCCAGTATGAGCAAGACACTGATGGGGAAGATTATGTGTATCCTGATGAGGAGGAGGCTGCCTTTGTATTCCAACCCAGGGGCTTCTCTAAAAGAAAGAAGTCATGTGTGAATGAGCAACTGAACAACATCACCTCTTCCAGAAATGAGATAGAGAAGACAAGATTGTGCCTGACAGAACATGGGGCCCTCCTGAGCAATGGCAGCACTTCTGATCTCTCTTCCAATGGCACATCAACATTTTTAGGAACAATGCCAAATCCACATGATATTTCCATGTCTCTGCCAGAGACGAACTATGACCCAGTGTCCTATGAGTCCTTCCTGGAAGATGAAGAATTGTCAAAAATCATCAGCCAGGATGAAGGGTTTGGAGCAGTCCCACCTGGAGAACCCTTGGTGAGTGTCAGTGGAAGGGTCCATGGTACTGTGAGCTCAGATGAAGATCAGCAATGGCTGCACCAAGCCACAGCAGTTCCAGGAGATGCTCTGGCAGGAATGACAGTGACAAAAATCCCAGAGCTGCAGGAGCCAGTAAAAGGAATGACAGTCCAGTCTGGTGGTAGGATAGAGAACCTGGAAGCAGAGCCTCAAAAGACAGCTACTCATGCAACAAGCTTGTGGGACTCCATTGCTTATGCTGCTGGCAAAGCCCCTCTTCAGGAGAACAGGAGCTCAACTCACCAGAATGATCTGGAGCACAACCTGGCACTTCAAGATGTGTCTTCACAGGGTAATGAGACCAAGCAGCTAAAAGGGGCTGATAAAATATCCTTTAACCTGTATGACTCAGAGGAGACAATCAGTACAGCCCTGTCTTTAAGTATTGATCACAACTCTTCCTCCACATTGAACAATCCTTCTGCATCTCCAGATGAGACAGAAGATAATAGGACTTCTCATGCTGTGGTTCACAGTCACACCATAGAAAGCAATTATTCATCAAATGACCTAGATGCTAGGTTAGAAAAAAGGCCTCACAAAGTGGTTTCACAAGACTTTTACGAAACTTTTGAAGAGCAAAATGTTTCATTGTCAGACAAATCTGTACCAGGAGAAACCTTCACAGATGAGAGCAACTCCTTGCCTGTGAAAAGTGGCACAGAAAAAGCCAGTGGACTTGCCAAAGGCCTTCTAGATACCACCTTTGTAGACACCAATGACCTTGAGCCATCCAGCTATGTAATGACAGAAGAGAAGGATGAAGTAATTTTGAAAGAAGTGTTTCAGGATGCTAAGGAATTAGCAGAGCTGGACAATATTGCCTTTTCTGAATCAAATGTTGTGACCAATGACACCAGGCCATTCCCAAATGGCTTATTAAAGAGCTCTGAGCAGTTTCTGAGACACAGAGTTACAGCCAGAAGCCCTGACTGGAGACCTAGACAAGCCAGGTCACTGGAGAGCAGAGGTTTGGGTCTTCCCAACACCAGCAGCAGAAAGCCCCTCTCTGGTGGTAAGACAGCAGAGCAGGTTGTGGCCAGCCAGCCCCCTGAGACAGCAGTGAAAAAGGAAGCCCCAAAGGCGTGTGGACCTCATTCCCCATTTTGCATCACTCGCTTCAAGAAGAGGTCCTTGGTATCAAGCGACACCTTGCCTGACGTGATGGCAGCCCCACAAAGCCTGGAAGAAAGATCCAACATGGTTGAGAGGAGGCTACACCCAGGCAGGGATGCTGTACAGGCTGATGGGATGTATCCTGGGGGCAGGCTGAGCACAGACAGGGGCGTGCAGGGCAGCAGAGACTCCCTCCCCTCACGGGGAGCACTGGGAACAGGACCAGCAGTGGCAGAGAGCAGCTCAGAAAGGCAGGTCACTGCTGAGGCTGCAGACCTGGCCTCAAACTGGGACCCAGTCTCCCCAGGGGCTGTGGTGAACACGGGGGACGTGCACAGCCCAGCTCTGGCAGAGCTGCAGCCAGGCAGAGCTGCAGTGTGGGGGGCTCCTGGGAGCGAGCAAGCTCAGGGGAGAAGCCACATGGAGGAGGAGACAAACTCTGTGGAGCAGCTGGGTCTGTCCAGTCCTGAGCCTCAGCAGCTCAAGGCCAATGCCACAGAGGACCATGTGCCTGGGAGAATGTCTGGGCAAAGCCCAGAAGGAGCATCTCTGAAATTAGCCATCAGAGAGAACTGTTCACTGTCTCCAAATAGTCCCCCTCACAACAACAACAGCACCAAAAAGCCAGCAGAGTATGTGCAGGACACTCCTCATGGATGTCAGGTGCTCGGCAGGGAAGATGTCCTTAGAGAAACAGGGAGGACAGAGGGCCAGGGCCTAGGAGAGCCCAAGGAGGATGGGGAAAGCAACAGCACAGCTGGGGAGAGGAGCCACATCCCAGGACAAAGGGAGGAACCGGCCCTGAACAATGGGACACGTTCCAGCCCCTTAAAGACTGCCAGGACTGACTACGATGAGTACAGTGACACAGAGCAGACCATGGAGGACTTTGACATGTATGGGGAAGAGGAGCATGACCCACGCTCCTTCCAGGGGGAGATACGGCAGTACTTCATTGCAGCAGTGGAGGTGATGTGGGAGTATGGGGACCAAAGACCCCAGCACTTCCTAAAAGCAACGTAAGTGTGATTTTCCTGCATGCATTCCTCCTGCCCTGCATGGCACAGCATGATGCATGGGATGGCATGTCCTGGCAGGCAGGATCACAGTTCTGTACCAGTACAACCCAGCCAAGCAGCCCAGGGCAAGGATGCTCCCAGCATCTCCCCTCCATCCAGGGGGGTTTAAACCCCCAGAAACTGAGCTTCCTTGCAAGTGGGTCAGGGATGCTCTGGCTCTGTATCCCCCTGACCTGTAACAACCCTGCCATGGCTGTCCTCACTGTGGGACAGCCTGACTCACCTAACTGGCACCCCCCTGCAGGGACCCCCGGAGGAGCAGGGGGAAGCACTCCTGGCAGTACCGCAAGGTGGTTTTCCGAGAGTACCTGGATGATTCTTTCACGCAGCCGGTGCAGCGGAGAGAGCTGGATGAACACCTGGGCATCCTTGGGCCCTACATCAGGGCAGAAGTTCAAGATGTCATCATGGTGAGTAGAAAGTTCCCATTTACTATAAAAGCATAAATCCCCCTGTTGTTGTTGGCGTTCAGCCAGAGGGAGTGCTGAGGTGGCCTGCAGGCTCTGCAGTGCCCGTGGGTTAGCCTTCAGGGCTTGGGGACAGGAACTGCCCTGTTGGCATGTGATTGGCACCAGACTGGGAGGCAGAGGGACTTCAGTGGCTGGAGGAGTGGGCCAGCAGGAACCTCAGAGTGTTCAGATGCAAAGCCCTGGACCTGAGACAGACCCAACCTCTGCAACAGCATGGCCTGATCAGCTCCTGGGCTCCATGGGGAACTTTTTGGGTGATGGGATTGCAAAAAGGGTAGTGAGCTAAGCAGGGCTCAGTGCAGCTCTTTTAGGTATGAGGGCAGGCTTGGGCTTCCCATACTACCAAAAGTCTTTCAACATTTACCTGAGAAGAAGGTGAAAGGCTCAGGACTTGTGTCCCTGCAGAAGTTGCCCAGTTTTCACAGAAATCTTCACCAGGATAGATTCAGCACCTTTGGGCTCCAGAGGCAGTAGTGTAGCTGATCTTGCTTCCATTGAGCAGGCAAAAGGCCTTATCCTGCTGACATGAACCCAGGATGTGCTTTCCACCAGAGATTGCACTCCACAGCTACAGCTTGTGTTTCAGCAGGGGTTGGCCACTGCATGGAGACAAGCTGGAGACCTGGGAACCAGGGACATCCTTCCAGCTGGCTGGACCCACCACCAGGGTCCAGAGCACTGTCAGCATTGCTCCCTCACACATTCCACTGCTCTGCCTTCCCTCTGGTGCAGGTGACCTTCAAGAACCTGGCCTCACGGCCCTTCTCCTTCCACTCCACACTGACAGCCTATGAGGGCACAACGCAGCAGGGTGGGGTGGTGCAGCCTGGTGGCCACCAGAAATACTCCTGGAAAGTCCTGCCCCAGATGGCACCAACCACGCAGGAGTTTGACTGCAAGGCCTGGGCTTACTTCTCCAATGTGGATCTGGTAGGTGGGAGTCTCCATGGGGCATTCCAAGAAGGGAAGAAGGGCAGCATGCCTGGGTCCTGGCTGTGAGGTCAAGGAATTTCCTATGGGGCTGTGCTGAAAGCAGCTTGGGGCCGTGCAGATTCTCAGGTGTCTAATACAATGATGAATACATGCTGGTGCTCTTCCTCTTCCTCCTTCTGTTCCTCTTCTCTTCTCCATTTGGTTTTCACCCCTCTCCCCAATTATTCCAGCTTATGAGACTTGCAAGAAACCAGCATTCTGCAGTTCCTTACCCCTATGCCACATCTCCCTGAATTTGGCCCCAGGGTCCAAAGCAGTAGGGACTGTTGGACAGTTGGACAGACAGACACCACGTCTCTTGAAAGCACATGCACACACTTGCTGCTCAGCCTTTCTTAGCTCAGTGAACACAACATATGAATCCCTCTGTGCACGTGCCCCAGAGTGGGAGCCAGGCCAGGGATGCAGACGGGTTCACTGCTTTCCTCTCTGCCGTGCCTCTTGCTGGTGTCAGTGCCTCCCCTGCTCGGGGGCACACCCTCATTCCCTTGCTCCCTGGCAGGAGAAGGACCTGCACTCAGGCCTCATCGGGCCACTGATCATCTGCAACCATGGGGTGCTGAGCTACGCTTCCAGGAGGCAGCTGGCTGTGCAGGAGTTCTCCCTGCTCTTCACCATCTTTGACGAGACCAAAAGCTGGTACTTCCTGGAGAACGTGGACAGAAACTGCCGCCCTCCCTGCAGGCTCCAGCAGGACAGCCCTGACTTCAAGAGAAACCACTCCTTCCATGGTGAGGATCCTTGCCCTTTCCATCCCGCAGCCTATATCAGGATGGAAATACCCCAGAGCCTTGAGCCCCTCCTGACTGCTGCCTTTCCCAGCCATCAATGGCTATGTGAGTGACACCCTGCCTGGGCTGGTGATGGCCCAGCAGCAACGGGTCCGATGGCACCTCCTGAACATGGGCAGCACTGAGGACATCCACTCTGTTCACTTCCACGGGCAGCTGTTCAACGTCAGGACCAGCCAGGAGTATCGCATGGGAGTCTACAACCTTTACCCTGGTGAGGTGGTATAGTGGGGGAATAGCAAGGAGGGGGAGTGGATCTGGGCTATTCTGTCCCTGTGCTTGCACAGCACTTGGCACAGTGGTGTCCCATTGCAGGCTGTAACTCCGCTCTGCTCTGCTCTCCATTCCTGGCCAGGTGTCTTTGGGACAGTGGAAATGTGGCCCTCACATGCTGGCATCTGGAGGGTGGAGTGCAAAGTGGGAGAGCACCAAGAAGCCGGAATGAGTGCCCTCTTCCTTGTGTATGACCTGAGTGAGTGATTTTCTTGTGCCCTGACCCATGTGAGCCCACACACAGCCATGACCAGTGTATATTTGAGCTTCCTCCCCCAGATCTCTCAGCATTTCTCTTGGGGTGACCCAAGTGGGACCTTCTGTGTTTTCACTCTGAAAAAAGGTCACTACATCAGCCCTTGCCAGCCTGCACAGCCCAGCAGAGAACAGAGTCAGGGACACAGCTGGGGTGAAGGCTGGGAGGCCATCTTCACTGGCCTGCAAATATTTACTCCAAGAGTTCTCATTCTCCAAATCTGAGAGTCCCTGGACCTTCCATAAAATGCACTTACCCAAGGAAGTGCATGCATGGGCTGGTTCCTGCCCATGCTGTCAATAAGGTGCAGTGCTGCCTAGCCATATATCAGGAGGTAAACTGAGGCACAGAGCAATGACAGGAGACAATGAGTGATGCTGCCTGACTTCAGGTTGGTCTGATAGAACTAGTTCCAAGGGCAACTGCAAAATCCACAGTAAACCTCTGATTCTACTCCAGAACATGTTTCTAACTCACCATAAGTAAGGACTGGGGAAGTGGTGTGGGAGAGTAGTATTTTATCACACTGTGACAGTCTCTCTCCTGTTTATAAAAGAATATTCAATGTCAGCCAGAAAACATTGCCATAAGTTAAAAATCCGCTTAAGATTTCAAATTTGCATTTTCCCCAGGAGCATTTGACATGCAGTGGAGATGCCAAGGTGTGACAAGTTGCTAATAATAAATAATGGTTACTATAAGAGACAAATATCCCAGTGCTCAGAGACCAGAAGAGACACAGGGAGAGACAGGGGTGTCAGGTAGACTTTCCTTTAGCAATGTGATATTTGTTTTCAAAAGATGCTGCCTAGCAACAAAAAGGCCCAGGAGCAAGATGTGGGTATAAGGAAGAGACACTTGTCAGCACTGCTGGGACATTAGGACATGGGAATGAGAGGTCATGGACTCAGGGAAAGGAGTTTGGCAGAAGGCTGCTGTGTCTGATGCTGGAAACTCTCTGCTCTTGACATGGGGGGTGTGAGCAAGAACTTCCAGCTATCCTAAAATCCAGGGATGGATGTGAAAGCCTCTGAAACCTATCCTTTGGTATGAGAGAAATAAGCCTGGGAGCTCCTGGAGGCTTGCAAACCTCCCTGGGCCTGAAGGCTGCTACCAGCTTAGACTTTTGTTGTCTAACCAACTGTCCCTGGTTTCTGTTCCCTGCAGACTGCCAGAACGCCCTGGGTATGGCCTCAGGTGGCATTGCAGACTCTCAGATCACAGCCTCGGGGCAGTATGGTGAGTAGCTGGAGGGCAGGTGGGGTCAGGGCAGCTTCAGCCAGCAGAACTCACATGTTTGCCTGCCCAAGTTCTGCTGCACTGGTCCCTGGTAGTGGAGTGCTTCCCCCATCCATGCCAGCATCCCAGTCAGGACCTGGAGCCTTCCCACATGGCTGGCCCATTGTGCAGTGCTCTGCCACCCTGCGTGTGCCTACTAAACCCCAGGGTGATCCTCAGGCCCAGTGCTGTGGATGGACCTCCCACCACCTCAGGCAGCAGCACCCTTGTGTCTGTGCTCTCCCCTTGCAGGGCAGTGGGCTCCTTACCTGGCCAGGCTGGACAACACCGGCTCCATCAACGCTTGGAGCACTGACCGCAGCAATGCCTGGATCCAGGTAAGAGGGGCCTCGTGTCTGAGGCACCACTGGGGGCATTGCAAGGCCATGCTCATGCAGAAGGGCTCATGGACGGGCAGTGCCTCCCCAGCTATATCCTGCTGTTTCCTCTTCCCTCTGAGAGGGGAGCACTACGATCCTAACGGCAGCTGCTCTGCAGGTTGCTGCTGGCCTGACCTCCATGTCCATCCTCAGTGCAGCAGAAGAATCACTTAATGGTCCAGCTGCAGCACTGGATTGTGGAAAAATCCCCCAAAGACCAAGGCAGAGCAGCTCACCTCTCCAAAGAGCTCTCCCCTGCTCACTCCCAGCTGTTGGCTGACTTGTGCCCTTATGAACAACTGTTTTAATTACTTTCATAACCAGTGCTCAGTTATGTCAGGAGGAAGCAAGTTTTTGGGTTTTTGGGGCATTGCCTGAGCATGGCTTGGGTTTTCCATCAGAAGTGAATCCCTGACTTTCATTCTCAGGTGGATCTTTTGCATCCCACCATTATTCATGGCATAAAAACCCAAGGGGCTCGACAAAAGTTCTCCAGCTTCTACATCTCCCAGTTTGTTGTGTTCTACAGCCTTGATGGGCGAAGGTGGAAGACCTACAAGGGGAATGCCACAAGCACACAGATGGTAAGGTCAAGGGTCTTGAGCAGAGTGCTTTCCCCAGATGGGGTGTGCTAGGGTGATGAGGGCTGGGGAGCTCTGTCCACAAGGCAGAAACCTCCTGAGCCCCTGACATTAGGGCAGGAACAGAGACCATTCAGTGCCAGGTGACTGAATCACAGATCTGCAAGGGACTTGCTGTCTCATCTGTCTGATTTTAAAATGTCTGAGCTACCTCTTTCCACCATCCCAGGTGGCTGTGAGATCCACCTCTCAATGTTATGTTGTGTTTTACTTAGAGCTAGGCATAAGATTCTACCTGAGTATCTTTTTTGACCTCAAAGGCAAATTTGCCTTTCTAAAAATATTGTGTAGATGCAGATAATTTGGAGAATCTATAGTCACTAGAAAAACCCCACAACCTAAATATGCATAAGCTGATCAATCCATTGGGAGAAGAGTAGCCAGAAAAGCCTCCATTGTGTGCACCATCTGTGGCTACAACTTTTCCCAGGTTCAAACATTTGAGGACTGACTTTTTTCCTTATTTTTCTCACCCTTGTTTGGTGAAAAATATAAAACCAAGATAATTTGCACAGACCCAAAGCTTCTTCTTCTCCTTTTCTTTCTCATTGGCCCACTCACACTTCTTTGGCCTGAACCTCAAATCATTTCGCTGTTGTCATTTTTGTAAGGATGGTGATAAGACACAGAAGTGCCAGGCATGAACGTTCTTCCCCCACTAATCCTTGTCCTGCCTATCTCTCTTTCCACTGGTGCAACAATCCTTTTCCTCCTTTTCCCTGCAGCTGTTCTTTGGAAACGTGGATGCAACTGGAGTGAAAGAAAACCGGTTCAAGCCCCCAGTGGTAGCCCGGTACATCCGCATCCACCCCACCCACTACAACATCCGAGCCACGCTGCGCATGGAGCTCCTGGGCTGCGACCTCAACAGTGCGTGCCACCCTCGCATCGCAGCCACCAGAGCTGGGCTCTGCTCTGCTCTGCTCTGCTTTGCTCTGCTGGGGTGCTGAGCCCCAGCTCCACGTGTGCCAGCACTCCCACGCAGTTATGGAGGAGGAGGAGGGAGCTGGAGATGGCTGTGGGGTGTTGAGGGAACAAAGCTGGAAAGTCTCATTGTGGTCATAGAGATAAAAATATCAGAGCGAGAGCCTGGGGCCAGCTTTCACCAGCTTTTTTACTGAAGCACAGGAAACTTTCAGCAGCAGCTAAGCTGATAGATGGGGATCTGCTGCCTCAGTCTGAGGGAGCAGGAAGCAAGCAGAGACAGATGCTGTTGGCTTTTAGTCTGGTTTTGTCAGTTGAAGGTGAGATGGCTCTGATCAACAGTGCAGCCTGGGGAAATGGTGCCCTGGGATCGTGTCTTTGGCTTTGCACACCTGTTCTGCAGCAGCAAAAAGCAGCAGTGGCTGTGCTGTCAGCTCATACCCCAAACCTGCCAGCTGGCTCTGGAGCAGCTGTGCACAAGCACACCTGATCATACATATGCAGGGTGTCTCCTTCCCAGGTATTCTTGTCCTCCCCCTGGAGACAGGTGCTCCTTGTTTCCTTACACCAGAAATTCTTCACATTCCTCTTAGATAAAATCTGCAGGGAGAAAAGAAGGTGGGAGTAGTTTGGCCAGAGCCATGCTGCACACAGGGGCCCCAAGCACTGCAGGGACCATGGCACTGCAGCAAGGCACAGAACTTGTAACCAGGGCAAAGGCATGCAGGGCAGCTGGAGCAGTGAGCAGGCAGAAGGCATCACCATGGTGGGTCTGTTCTAGCCCCTGACAAGCACTGCTCCTCTCTTCCAGGCTGCTCCATACCCTTAGGAATGGAGAACAGAGGGATCCCTGATGAGCACATCTCTGCGTCCTCCCACAGCGCCAACGTCTTCTCCAGATGGACACCAGCCCTGGCCCGCCTGAACCTTCAGGGCAGGACCAACGCCTGGAGGCCAAAGGTAGTCTGTGTGAGGAGACAGGCAGCTGGGATCCCAGCTGGGTCCCCTAGTCAGGGCTCTGTGGGAAGTGTGTGCAGCCACATGTGCCATGCAAGCTGCCCACTCACTGCCACACTGATTTAGCACCCAGCAGCTCCAAGCAGATGCCTGGTATGGCAGGTGAAGCAGAGGCAAGTGCAGGGCCAGCTTGGCTTCAGCTGCAATGAGTGTGTCTTTCTCATTGCTGCTGGAGGATTGAAGGCAGTCTGTCCTTCCCCAGAGCAACAGTCCCAGAGAGTGGCTGCAGGTGGACTTCGAAGTAACCAAGAAGGTGACTGCAATCATTACCCAAGGTGCCAAAGCTCTCTTCACCCAGATGTTTGTGAAGGAGTTTGCTGTCTCCATCAGCCAGGATGGTGTGCACTGGAGCCCAGTCCTGCAAAATGGCAAGGAGAAGGTAGGCACAGCTGCTCCTTGGCCAGAGCCCATGGCCACCCCCAGGGCAGCAAACACAGCCCTTGGCAGCAAACGTGCTCAAAGGATTTCTCTCCAAGAGCAGTGAGCCAGGCTGTGCTTCTTCCTTGCCTAAAGCATTCCAAGCAGTGTTTGTCTGGGTTGATCCTGTCCTGCTATGCCAGCCAAGTGCATCCCTGCTTTCTCTCTCCTCTCCAGATTTTCAAGGCAAACCAAGACCATCAGAGCACAGTGACGAATACCCTGGAGTCCCCTCTCTTTGCCCGCTATGTGAGGATACACCCCCGCCAGTGGCACAACCACATTGCCCTGCGAATAGAGTTCCTTGGCTGCGACACTCAGCAGGAGTACTGATGGCTGCAGGGCCAGGGAGAGGCACTGCCAGCCCAAGGACACACATCCCACCAGGCACTGAGCCCTCCCCAGGGCTGGAGCCATTCCTCCAGGGGCCTGGCTGCTCCTGCTGCTGGGGAAGAGAAGGGCTGCAGAAGTGGCTGGGTCATTATCTGCCTTTTCCTGTGTCTGCCAGATGCCATATACTCAGATGTAATGATGAAGAATTAAACAGTAATTTTCCAGTATCTCTCTGCACTTTCTCCTCTGCCTTAGCCTTGGACTCCCTAGGGACCCAGTCAACATTACCAGCAGCTACAAATTAATTAGCCCCAGAGCTTCTCAGCCTCATTTTGCACAAATTCTTGCTGTCTTGGGCACGCTCCTGAAGGAGGAAGAGCAAAGATAAGGATGGGGGTTGGAGGCCCTGCTCCAAGCCCCAGTGTCGTTTTCCCAGTCGGTGGGGATGGGAGGCTGGAGGGAGTCAGCTCTAGCTCAGCCTGACTCAGCACTGGGCTTTGGCCCTGCACTTCCCTTTGTCTCCTTTCCACAGTGCTGCTGCTGCTGTGGCTGGGTGCCATCACCCCCTTTTCTGTTGCTGCTTTGAGCAAGCCCTCCTTGTTCTCCACAGGAGTTCCGTGGTGCCTGTGGCTCCCAGGGACCCTGGTGGATGAGCTGCCACCTTGACATGACCACCAGCAAAGTGTGCAATGGGCCAGAGCCACCTTCCTGACACCTGTGGCTTTCCCCCTCCCTGGCACCCGCCCCACACAGTGGCGGATGTTTCCCCTCCTAGGAATGACGATGAGCAGGGTGACACTGGCTCCTGCCTCATTCCTCTCGTGGGGTGGGACCGTCCAGAGCAACAGCCACGTCACAAGGGTGGGGAGCACCTGGAGGGCTGTGGGGAAGGTGTGGGGTCATCCTTGTTGGGCAGCACTTCTCCTCCAGCAGCCTGCCAGAGCCTGTGCCATCCCACCCCCAGGGCAGTGAGGCCTCCATCTGTGATGGGGGAGCTGGGTGGCCCCACAAAGCCTCTGGCAGCTGGTGTGGCAGGGAAAGCAGGGTTATGAGGGGCTTTGGAGAATGGCAGGAGTCAGCTGGTGTGGCAGGGAAAGCAGGGTTATGAGGGGCTTTGGAGAATGGCAGGAGTCAGCTGGGTGCTCTCACAGTGGGATAGGCAGGATGGCTACAGCAACATTCATTGATTGCCTTGTGAAATTCCAGGGTGCCCCATCAGTCAGACAGTCTCTGCTCACACCTGTATGAGACATGGCCTGCAGCGGGTCTGGGAACAGCTCTGCCAGCAGCACAGGGGACAGCTGTGGTGGGGACACCAGGGCTGTGCCATGAGCAGGGTGGTTGTGTGAGGGATGGCTGCTCTGAGGCACACAGCTCCAGCCTCCATCAGCTGCACTGGGCTGCGTGGTGCACAGAGATCTATCTCCCCTCCACGGCCTGTGTCTGAAGGAAGCAGGGACATGTGCTGCAGACCACCCCAGTGGTGTGACCTGTCCAGGAACCCACACCCAAGGGAGATCAGAAACTGGTGTTTCAAATAACAGCTTGAAAAAGCCTCAGGCGTCTGCCACGTTCCACACTGCTATACAGGGAGCCTCTGCTGTGGCGCTGGCAGTGATTACATTACAGCCCAAGCAGGAGATGCAATCACCCTTTGGCTCAATTGCATTCTGACAATAACCAGGCACAGAGGTGAGGAGAGGCTGCCCGGCAAGCACTGGCCTGAAGAGAGGGATAGGAGCCATGAACTTCTCAAAGGGACACCCCTGCCTGAGGCAGAGTAGCCCTCAGCCTGAGAGGACAAAACCTGCCACCTCAGGCCCTTCTCAAGGCATCCTTCCTCAGCTACAAGGCAACTCCATCTCTCCTGTGCTTCAGCCCATCTGAAGGATAAATACCCTTCAGGGTCTCTACCGGTGGATGCTCAGGCTCCTCTTCCATCCAGAAAGAGGCTGCCACGTTGTGGCACATTTGTCTGGTGAGAGAGGGTTAGCTCAGAGCAAAAGCTCTGTGCACCAGAGCCCATTCTGGATTATTTTCAAAGAGGAAGCACAGCTGAAATCTCTGCAGGCGTCCTAGCAGTTTTCACCCACCAGCCCCAAGGAGTTCCAGGATGTTTTCCAGCCAGACAGCAAGGAGGGGACTGTGCTGAGAAAGAGCCGTAGTGGGCAGGCAGACAGATGTGTCTGAGCCTGCCAAGTTCTGGCACCCATTACTGGAAGCATGTCTTGACATTTATCTTGTGAGGAACGGAGACCAGACGCTGTTTCCTCACAGCACGACGTCCTCCCTGAAATGCATCACGTCCTCCCCCAGCCACAGACATTTCTGTGCAGGGAAAGGGCTTGACCAGCATGAAGCCCTCTGCCTTTCAGCCAGGAGATGCCCTGCCTGGTCACAACCCTGCAAAGAGCCCTGCTGCAGCACAGCATGCCTGGCTGGATCCTCCTGGACCCCAGGGATTTTTTGTCTTTCATGGCTCAGCTGCCAGGGCTGCCTGGGCTGGGTGATCTGGTACTCACACAGCTTTCTGGTGTCTCCAGGAAGACAGGAAAACACATCCTGACTGTCTCTTTCTATTACAGACCAAGCAGAGATTAATTGGCAAGCCAAAGTGTGTGTGGTTTCAGTGCTGAGCCCCAGCCAGATGAGCCATGGGCCAGGGGGGATTCTGCATCTCCCTTCCCTCATGCTGGGTGGAGAGCTCTTGGTGTGCTCCCTCACCAGAGTCAGAGGTGGAGAGTGCTTGCAGCTATTGCAGCTGTGCAGGTGGGCACCGCTCTCTGAAAAAGTTGCCAGCACGTAACAAAAACAGGCAGTATCAGGCCGAAGAGAGCACCTGAGCAGGGACCATGGCCAACGGGGAGCAAAGCAGATTTGGGCAATCACAGCTTAAATCCAAGCTCAGCCAAGGAGCTACGACCAAGCTGCTCACCACCTCCTCCAGCTCAGTTTTCCCATATGCAACCCAGAGGGAATGAACAGACTTAGACATCGTTTTTCTGTCTGTCAGGTGTCTCTTGTCACATTTTTCCCTCCTACTACACGTTCCATGATTAACTTCAGGGCTTGTCTCTGCTCTCTGTATCTCTTGCCTCCTACTCCACGTTTCTTACCAGCCTGTTTCTAGCCCGTGAGTGCAAGAGAAGCCCTGCACCAAAGGGTCCTGCCTCCAGCACATCTCAAAGCCATGTCCCACCAACCCCAGTGTGTGTCCACCTCCCCCTCCTCCTTGCTGGCTGTTTCAGCTGTTGGGTAAGGATACTACAAAGTGCTCTGCAGAGCCTCCTTGGTCAGCTGGGCAGGGATGGAGAAGATGAGACTCCCAGCAGCATTCTCCAGCCTGGTGGGCACATCTGCTGGGGCTGAAGGCAGCCAGGCACCCTTTGACTTTTCTAGTCCATTATTTACTCATCCTGATTAGGCTGTCCAGAGAACCCTGCAGACAAAGTCTGGGCCACAGGTTCCACTAGGTGCAGCTGCAAAACATGGCCCACTTAGGTGTCTTCTGCTCCTGGTATTGACTCCCCTGATCTCCTACTAACACTGCAACCTTGTTATGTGCTTGGTACACAGAACTTGCTCAGCATCAGGAGCTAAATTTGATGAAGTCTTACACCACAAGTTGTGAATTTCCACCCAGATAGGCTGAACTTTTACCAAGTTAAGTAAGAGGGGGCCCCAGAGCTGGTTTGAGCTGGAAGATAAGGAAGCAGGGAAGGCTGCTACCATCATTAGGTCAGCTGACACAGCAGTCTTAGAGATAAGAGGAGGAACAGCCCACCTAGAGACAGTGAGGGGACCCAATAAAGAACAGGAATACCCCAGATCCTGATATTAGTAGTAGTCAGAACTGTCATGTGAGGGGTGGGGAACTTACCTTGTAAGGATATAATTGCTCAATGATTTCTTTGATTGAGGCTCCTCTTTGGAGGTACCCAGCTCAAGCTGCTTTACATGTCAGATAAATAAACAACCCATTTACTCAGTGGATTGGCAACTTGTCTTCTTCAAGCAGGCCCAAGCCCTGTTGAAGGTGGCATAAATCCTGGCAGGTGGGGAAAATCCTTCAATAAAGCCCAGGGCCCCAGATGGGCAGTGTGAGGCTGAGGATAGGGCAAGAAGGGGAGCTACGTCTGGATGATGCAGGACTCAAGGCAGGTGATCCCACAAAAGTGCACAACAGCTGCCACAGGAATGGGACTGTTGGGAAGAGCACTCCCAGTCCAGGCTGTGCTTTGGGACTCTTTGCTCCTGGCAGTGTTAGGGTTAGGGTTAGAACAGACTGCTGGAGCCAGTCACATTAGTGCCTGCAGCTCCCACGTCTCCTTTTCCGTGTATCTCACAGCATCCTGGGCTTTCTTATAGCCCAGTCAGGAAGAGTTTTATTCCCACGAGGCAGGAGAAACTTGCTGTCAGAACGAGATGGATTTTCCTCTTTTTCTTCCCCCCCTCCGTCCTGTCCCGTCCCCTCCCTGCTCCCCCCCCCCTTCCCCCCGCCCATTTTCCTGTTTCCTTTGTCTAGGAGTTTGCACCCTTCTTCTCCTTGTATTTCTTATGGTAACTTTAGAACAACTCACCCTGGAGAACTCAGTGTGTGAGTCTGGTACAAGGCAACCTCTAAACCTCCAGGATCCCAGGGATGGTGTGAAAAACCCTGTCAGTGTTTTCTTAAAGAATAATACAGCAGAATTAACTTTCCATCCCCAAACAAAGCTCAGACTTCACTTGGACCCTCTCATCAGTAAAACCTACAGTAAGGGCAGAAATGGTTTGAGAGAAGTCCTTTGCACCATGCACGGCTCACAAATGCAGGGATTTGCCATCCCACCCATTCAAGATGAAGGAGGTGGAAGACCCAGAACAGCTCAAGAAGAGGGCTGTCCTTGCTAGAGTGCAGAGAAAGGTATCCTGGAGGTACCCGGGAGCTCTGCACACTGGCAGAGCCCAGGAATTGGTTTGTGAGAGCCAGCTCCGCACCAGTGCGACTTTGGAGAGGTGCTCCCCATGTCCTTGCTGGGCCCCTGCCCAGAGTCTCCAAATGAGGGAAATGAAGATGGTGAAGGGCCTTGAGAGGAAGCCTTGTGAGGAACAGCTGAGGTCACCTGGTCTGTCCAGCCTGGAGAAGAGACTGAGCACAGACCTCATTGCAGCCACCACCTGCTGATGAGGAGGGGCAGACCCTGATCCCTTCTGTGTGCTGACCCACCACAGGACCCGAGGGCCC